CCAATCTTGGAATTTTACTGAAATTTTTTGAGAACTATCCCTCAATTTTCTTTTTCTCCTTTATTTTTTTTTTTTTTACCATATCAAACACACCATTAAAGTAACATTGGAGGAGAAGACACCTACATATATAGGTCCATATGTTTGATAATTGATAAGGTACAAAAAATGCCAATGCCATTAATTGAGTCCCATCACAATAGAGGACATGTCCGTCTTTCCTAGAAACCCACTTGTGAAGGTACTTTTGTCAATATATATATATATGGAATGATGAATCCTCCATGGATAATGACCATTAAATTTTACAATGGGAGTGACACTCAACATTCTTTACTATGGAATGCTGTTAAAGCACTCAACATCATGAGTGCTTTAACACTCTACATATAATTAATTTTCTAGAGAACTGCACCTCAACATAGTTATTCATCAAAGCATTCTTTACTACAAGAAAAAAAGCAATAAATTACTTGATATGTTAAGTATTTTTATCTATTTTCTTCTTTAGAAACCGTGACTTCTTTCTTCTAAATAATTTAATTCATTTCAAAATTTTCAATACTATTGATATTTAGCGTCTGTTTTGTATCGATATCGTTGCTCCAGAAAACGGCGATATATTAGTGCTATATCAGAAAAAATAGTGCTCTAGGAAATGCCTATTTATTTGGAACCATTTTTTCATAAAAACAGTGTTCTAAGCCATGTCTTGGAAATTAAGAAGACATGGCTTAAAGCAACATCAAATTTGACGTTTCCTGGAGTTGCAGCTCGTTGTTGCCAACATGAGCATGATGAGGTGGCAGTGACAGAGACATAATGTGGCACTGGATAATAAGTACCAGTGCTGAAAACATTTCCTAGAGCATTGGTACCAAACAGAAAATGTTGTTATTGCTCCAGGAAACGTTCTACCTGGCAGCAATGTTTTCAAACAAAAAAAAAAGACATTGTTTTTTTTTAAAAATGGTGCTTTCAACCACACATCAGCAGCACCATTTCGTATCTGCAGCATTGATGCCAAACATATACTTAATAAGCATGTAAAAGAAAAGCTTACTTTGGCTCAATTTGAAAAGAGTACAAATACAAATTTATAGAATACAAAATCTTGTATTTTATATGTATTTGTGCTATACATATTTGTATTTATACTCTTTCCAAACTGAACCTTTATTTTTTCTTACCAATTTTCTCTCCAACAAAGTTGTTTTTTGGTTGTTGTAGACTTGTAGTCATTATAAATAGCTCTTTTTAGTTCTATTTTTTTTTTCTGCTGAATTTCCAGTTGATTTTAGTATATTCCCTTAGTTTCTTGTGGTACATTATAACAGATTAAATCTATTTTAGTGCTACTAATTTCTATATAATTGTTTAATCATGATTTCCCCCTTTGTAAGAGGAAATCATAATGGGATAATCCTGTCAAACACAATATGTTAAAATCAATGGTGCCTAACACTTTGATCTTTTTCATCAAAGGACTTCCCCCACCCACCTAGAGTTTGTCACATTGTGATTAAATGGAGCTAATCTTTTTTTTTTCTTTTCAAGAATCTATAGAATATTTTATTTTCCAAATAAAAAAAAAGGCTCGAAGCCATGTCAGAATTTTTCTAGTCCATTTCACAGCACCCCTAAAAAAAGTTAAGTGATCTGTTCCAAGTTCGATAAGCTTTGGATGATGATGACGATAACGATGATGATGATGATTTTTTATTATTTTTTTTGCTAGATATGATGATGATTTTATCCTCTATATAAGTGGCAAATTCCCAAAACCCAGATCTCTGGTTGGCTACCAACAGAAAAAGATTAAGCACCAAGCAATCTCGCTGGTTTAGAAAGTCGATCTGCACTATTGTCTCACCCCCCCCCCCTTGTTTGCAGATCTGGACATGATCTTAGATATATAAAGGATGGTTGATGCGTTTACTTTTGTATGTGCAAAGCTGACCATAGTTTTAGATATATAAAGGATGGTTGAAAATGACAGTAATTATTTTCTTCTTTAGCTCTCTTTTGAACTTTTTCTAATATTTTTTTGAGTCTTCTTATATTATAAAATTAATCAGAAAAGGATGTTAAATAATTAAGGTGGTGTGGTATCATTTTGGTCCTATTTACAGTAAGATATAGTGTTATGCTATGTTGGACAGTCTTTGTCCACAAAATAGCATGAACGGGAATGGGCCACACCCCAATTTATCGTCTACAGTATTTTTTCGTGGATGATCCACACTATGGTGTGGACAGTTTATGGGAAGGTTTCAGTGTAATTTATATGCGTTACATTTGTCAAATTACTCTAATTTTATTTAATCTTTTAATAATTCTTAAATTTTTAATTTTTAATATTTTATCAATAAAATAATAATTTTTAATGTTAATTCTAGCACAAGTTCGATAGTTCTCCTTCTCAATTCTTTTTTTCATTATTTAAATATTAATATTTTTATCAATAAAATATTATTTTTTTAATATTTAAAATAATATTTTTTAATTATTTAAAAAATGCAATTGATGTCTACATATTTATGCCTTTTTTTTCAATTTATTTACCATATAAAATGCAAAAATTAGACATTTATGATTGGTGTGGTGTGGAGTAGTCCCTGCCACAGGGTAAGGTGTAGACCAGTCCACACCCACCAATTTCTCATCCACACTACAGAACACCCCATAAATTTATAATTTTGTCTCGTAAGAATATATATTTGCAAACCACCATATCCCCAGTTAAGTGTGATCAGTCCGGGTCTAATAATTAACCTAGGAAAGTAAAAGCATGTGTTAGAAGATTCAAGAAACACTTTATTGAGAAAAACATAAATAGCTTTTAATTTTCTGAGATATGAGGGTGTTACCATTCTCTTCTTTTCTCTATCCTCCTTTCAAACCAAAGGAGGGAGGGATCAACATTCTCTACCATACAGCTATACTCCCTCCCTCTCTCTCTCTCTCTCTCTCTCTTACGCACACAGCCAATTTTCTCTTTCCTCTTTGAAGTCATCCATCTATAGGCAAGGTTTAAAATTTCCATATACTTGTATGTATTGATAGGTGTGTATCGAAACTTTGAAACACACAAATATTTTTTTAGTTTATTTTTAAAATTTAGTTTTTAGGGAGTTAAAAACATGTTTTTTTATTGAAAAAGAGTAAAGTCTCAAAACACCTAAAAACTTGCGTATTAAAACTCAAAAGATACGATACAATACGCCTGTATCAAAATTTTGAACCTTCCCTATAAGGAATTATAGCGACCTGATCCCTCATCAAAGGGTACGTAATGCAGCTCCTTCACAGTCCAGCCACTTTCTCATCTTCTCTAACCTATGTCCCCTAGGCCTTTCGAAGCATACTGACCTCCATGAAGCTTACGCATCTAATGTTACTGGAACATGACTCTCTAGTTAACTCTAGCAGTCTAGCTATGACTCTTTAATAAACTCCATTGTGGAGCTTGCCATGTTAAAAAAAAAAAAAAAAACTAAGCTAAATAGGCTAAAAATAAAATATATAGAAAAAGTAGTCTTCATAACATCAACAAAACCATTTTTTGCATTTATTCAGAGCTTTTTTGTTTTTTAAGTCGGAAATGTCGGATGGACAGATTTTTGTGAAGATATATATTTAGAAAATGGAGTGCCTTGGATCTATGGAAATAGGAACCACCCATTGGTTTGGGTCTTTCATAAATTGCCACCTGCCCCATGCTTCAAGAATTGGGGTCGGGTCCACCATCAAATGGGTTTCAATAGCATTTCCAAAATTCAATGTATTTGGATGTGTAAATGCCAAGCCCTTGCATGTAAAAAGACACAAACACCCTTAATATGGACGCATGAGAAAGTATGCTAATGAAAGTAAATTACGTGGGATAGTTATGATGTTTAGTGCATGTAAATCTTTAGTTAGGCTATGTTTGGTTCAAAAGAAAAGGTAGGAAAAGGAAAAGAAGGGAAACATATACAAACACAGCCTTAGATCTTAGATCTTAGTTCTTGATACAAGTGTATCAAAGATGTTCAATTCCAAGCTTGACTTTGAAATCCGAGCTGGTTAAACTGCATTTGGATATCAAAGATAGCCAAACCCAAATTGAAATTGGATATTAAAGTTCAGTTTGGAAGGAGTATAAATATAAATATGTAGAATGCAAATTCTTATAAAATACAAGGTTTTACACTCTATATATTTATATTTGTACTCCTTCCAAACTGAGCCTGAATAATATTATGATGCATAAAGCAACACAATTGACATTTTTAACATTGTTATAGCCGTGTAATAGTAACTATATCTTATGAGCGTGAACAAATGAAAAGAAAGTAAACCATGTGACATCGGTTAAAATCTTAATTTAATTGATTTAATGTATAACAAATATTTAGAAATACATCATAGTTGGATTCGTAATTTAAAATCGAAATGATCAAAATATCATATCTTCATTAAAGGATCATAAGTTGATGTCTCTTTAGAAGTTTTTTTTTTATTTATTTTATTAATAATATAATATTTAAATCATTTTCAGTTCATTTTATTAATATAATATTTCGAACATTTTTCCTAGTTTCATTTATTAATGATATATCGGCATGTAATATTCTGATCAAATCAAAATCCGATGGACGAAATTCGATTTGAACCCGTATGTTAATAGAATTGGATTCTTCTCTGGTAATCAAATCAAAATCCGAATCCGACCTGTTAATTATGGGCCCCAGGCCTATATACGGGTCCTGGGCCTAGGTCAAATATAGACAAAGCTGTGGGTTTTAACCTTTTAACATAAAAATAAAAAAAAAAGCCGGAAATAACTGAATCTTAGTCTATCGACTCCCAAGCCTATCAAGCATGCAGGGGTATTTTAGGTATATCATAAAATATCTCATTTTTCGGACAGAACACTGGCATTATTGTAATTTATGAGCAAAATCATCGGCAATTTAATAACACAATCCCTATAACCGTGGATTGTCAAGCAAGCGAGCGAAAGGTTTCGATATTATCTTGTCCGATAGAGAGAGAAACCGAACAGAGAGAGAGAGAGAGGGCTGGAACAGTGGAAGGAGAGGAAGAACCGAAGGAGCGGAAGATTTCGATTCCCTTTGAAAGTTGAAACCCTAACCCTAGGAGGTGAATATGTTGATGGGAGGTGGAGATAACGAAACCCTAAGTCGGATGACCATGATGTCAGCCATGCCACTGCAACTGAACCCGGCGACGATATCCGGGGAGATTCCGACGTCGAGCGTCTCGGCCAAGAAGGACGACAGGATTCCCCAATGGGGCCATCAAGAAACCAGAGACTTCATCGCGATTCGTGCTGAGTTGGAGAGGGACTTCACCGTCGCGAAGCGAAATAAGACCCTTTGGGAGATTGTTGCCGCGAAAATGAAGGAGAGAGGCTACAGGAGGAGTCCGGATCAGTGCAAATGCAAGTGGAAGAACCTTGTTAATCGTTATAAGGTCTGTATTTCGAGATAGATTTCATTCTAAAACTCAAAAAGACAAGAAGGAACAGTTCTTAGATGTCTTCTAATTGGCTCTAAGGAACAGTTCTTAGATTTCATCCTTCCTTTGTCTGATAAAATCTCGAATTCTATCACTTCTTTCTTGAACCTAACAAGACAGAAGTAGATGAAACCTGATGCAATCGATTCATACAACAAAACTATAGCTTTCAAATCTTCTGGGCTTCACATTTGAAATTTGATTGAATGGTTTCTGCCAGTGGGAAAGGTTTACACGAGGGAGTTGAGATTCCTTCTCAGCAAATTTCGAGGCTAAAACGACCAGATTTTTATTTATTTGTCTCGTAAATTTTCTATCTTGTCCAAATATCCAACCCCAATTATTTGATTTGATGTTTAAGTTTTTTTTATTCATTAACAAACAGGGGAAAGAAACATCGGATCCAGAGAATGGGCGACAATGCCCCTTTTTCGAGGAGCTGCACGCGGTGTTCACAGAACGAGCAAAGAACATGCAGCGCTTACTCCTGGAATCAGAGGCTAGCGCTGCCGGGCAAGCGAAGAAGAAGGTGAAGAGGCCGAGTGGTGATCGATCCTCCGAAGACTTATCGGACGACGACAACGAGGATGACGACGATAGTGAAGAGGAGCGCCTCCCGAAGAGCACCCGGAAGAGAAAAGCCGAGAAGCGGGCATTGGATAAATCGTCGTCAAGGACGGGCATTAATAGCAGTAGCATACAAGAAATGCTCCAGGAGTTCTTTGTGCAGCAGCAGAGGATGGAGATGCAATGGAGAGAGATGATGGAGAGGAGGGCGCAGGAGAGGCAGATGTTTGAGCGGGAATGGCGGCAGTCCATGGAGAAGCTGGAGAGGGAGAGGATGCTTTTGGAGCAGGCGTGGAAGGAGAGGGAGGAGCAGAGGAGGATGAGGGAAGAGAGCCGAGCTGAGAAGCGGGATGCCCTGTTGACATCTCTGTTAAACAAACTCCTCCAGGAAGATCACCTCTGAATTTCTGGTAGAGGGTATGAGTATTAAGTTTATTCTGAATGCCATTATTATCCTAAATATATGCATTCCCCAAGTTCTAAGTTCTAACCGAAAGAAGATAACTTAAGCTTGGTCTTCTTCTGCACAGAGACTGTAAAGAAGAGAGAAAGAGCATAGGAAAAGGAAATTGTATACAGCAAAAGATAGAGTTGTAACTGGGTTTGTATACAAGATGAAAAAGAAAATAAGGATGTTTTTGCTAAATTTGATTTGGACTATTGGACTGCCTTTTTTTGTTTTTGGGTGGTGGGGGATGTTTATTGGTTTATTTGTTAGTTTGTTTATTTGTACAAGGAAGCGTTTGGCCGTTTGTGATGGTTCAAGAACAGTTAATAGTGGGAATTATGATCACCTGCCCTGAATGGCTGAATTATTATAAGGAACCAATTGAGATTTAAGGACAAAAATTGGGTCCACTGGGTTGAGATTCATTGATGATCATCTAACTATCTAAGTTGAAATTGAGTTTACCCCTCCCCCCCCCAAAAAAAATAGGGATTTTCACTTTTCAAAGTATGGGACTGTTTGCATCAGTCAGAGGTGCAAAATTGGTGCACTGTTTGCATCAGGTGGGTGTTCTTGGTAAATTAAGCAGATTCATCCAAAAGTCAAAACAACTGAAGAGCAGACGGTTGTTTGGATTTTAGATATGCAAGTTGCAATACGGTGGAGTTATTAAATTGAGAAATTTGTTTCTTTGACTAAAATAGAAGCTTCTGTTCATTCAATTAAACAAAGCCTTACAGCGTTAACCCAAGTTCTGTGGTCTCGCAGGCTTACAGTACATGAATTTCAACCGACTGACAGAAGTTTCTATTTTCAAATATGTTGAAAATTTCTTTGACCAGACAATTCGGTTCACCATTTATGTTAAACCAAAAAACATGAACCGGTGATGAAATGATACACCACAATTAAAATAAATAGAGCATGTAACATTTTGGTTGAAATTTTGATTTAATATAATATTGCAAATATTCAAAATACACCGTTGTTTTGGACTCAAAGATCCAGGCTCTTCTAGATTCCAGTTGACCAACAAAAAATATCAGAAAATTCTTAAAACTACTCGATTATGATTGTTCATGTTACGGTCCTTAGGGATAACCTGGCCCTCGATTAGTCAGATGCTTTTGATACGAAGTTATAACCAGAATCTAACCTCGGTTCAATGTGCTGTGCAAACGAGAGTCGCCAATTACCAAATACCCAATCCCTGGCACTACGATCCATCAAAAGTTCTCTAATTAATCAAGCAACCATGGAAGGCAACGTGTTTTCTAAGTTGCAGGAACAATTATGTATTGTCTGATACAACACTTTCCGTGGACCAAAGCCCAACAATGAATACATAGGGCATAGCTCACGTGGTGCAACACAAACCACATTCAGTTTAATTTTGTGATGCAACAGAAACAAGATGACAACACTTTTACCTTTATATTCGCACAAATATTAAAAGCACAAAACCTACAAAGTCCATCACAAGAAAGCCTCCATGGTCCATATCTTGTCTAAAGTTTCCCACCAAACCCTGTGGAAGCTCTGCTGCCATGCTGGACTTACTGTATTTCCATTACATTCCAGAGCCGGAACTTTGGTTCCAAAGATATTTACTTCTCTGAAAAAAGAAACAAATAAAAAAAGAAAAAAAGAAAAAAGAAAAAAGGTAGTACTATAGTAAGCAACCAGCAATCTTTTCCTGCCCAGATAAACAAACGCAGAAGAAATGCAGTGGCTTTTATTCAGACAATGATAGTTAAAGGTACATTCCAAGTTCTGAATAAACACGAGCCTGCACTCTGCAGGTTTGATTCATGATATGTAAATCAGCCCGAATCAGTGGGAGGCTTTTCCTTTGGATGTTTGGAGGCATAGTGATCACCAAGCTGGTTCTGATTTGCTAGCTGCACCTGAAAAAAAAAAATGCATGTTCTCTTGATTTAATGCGGTACCAAGAAAATAAAATAGTTGTACAAACGCTATTGCTTGAACATCTTATAATTTTGTCTGCTCAAGTAAAAGTTCCGTATCCATACGGACACATTAAGGACAAAAGGGGTAGCTTTTCTGTATGTCGCAGTGACTTTCCCATTGGCTTTTTGGCTCATGTTTGGTTCTGAATCCCTCCATATAGAAGGATATGTTTCCTTCAAAATCTGCTAGGAGATGATTCCTCGAGGCTGTATTTGGATTGGGTGGAAACAAAAAAAGGTAGGAGAGAGAGACTACAATTTAGAGATATTATTCTTTAAAGTCTGACCACAAACCATTGATCTTATGCCTGGGAATCCCTGGCTCCACCATGTCTAACCTACAGCCAGCCTTAATTGTCCGACCACAAACCCTTGCTTAGTTCTTCTACATCTCAGAATTCTATGAAGATGCTTTTTGAGGAGAAACAGTACAGTCCATTTGTATCACACCAATCTCTAAGAAAAATGTTGGTGACAATAATAGGATTTGAGTCCAATTAGGCTAGTGGTACCACAAGAAAAAAATGAAGATCATGAAACTCAAGAATTAAGAAAGTCCAATTAGGTTAGGATTTGTATCACCTATAGTTGTCAAGGTGAAACCTAGGTGACAGGACACAAATTGTGGCTTGCCTCACCCAAGCACCCAGAGGTTTTATGTAAGGTATAATGTATATTTTTTATATTTTTATTTTCTAGCAACTTCACAATATTATAATAGAACCTACACCATCTTCTTTTTTATATTTTTCTTAATTTTTTTAAGCTTTTATTCATTTTCTTGGATTGAAATAGGGTCTCCACGGTCCTCCACCCCCTTCTCATTCTTCTATTTTAATTTTTCCCCTTCGTTTTCTAAGACCAGAAACAGGCTTCCTGTTATTTAATTGGTAAATCTGTAATTGTTTTTATCCTGCAATTGCTCTATATTCTATTAAATTATTTTATTACAATCTTGTTTTGGGGATATTGACATAATAGATTTAAAATGCCATTGTCCGTTAGATATTATAGTTTTCTATGTTTCGGCATGAAATTTATTATTATCTAGTAAAGATCATTGCCTTTTTTCAATATACATGGCCTATCATACTATGTAACTGAGGAATTAACATGGGATCTAGAATGTTTTTTCATCAAAATCCATCAACTAAGTGGACACCTAGTTGACTGGCCTCTCCCCTATTACCTAGCATCGCATTGGCACCTTGAAAACTATGCTACCAAAAAAATTGAAGATCTTGACCACAAGAACTAAGAAAACTATAGGTTCTATTATATCTCCTTGTTTTGGATAAGTCTACTCTCTACTTTATCTCCATTTCAAGAAGCATGTTGAAAAGACAACTTTGAAAGGAGTTGACAGCAAAAATAAACTATGATGTACAAAGCATGAAATAATTGATATAAACCATTCTTAGGTGTACTGAGAACAAAATCAGCTAAAAACTAAATTAAGGTAGCATCCATGAAATTAAATATCATAACTATTAAGAAAAAAATATAAACTTCCAAGTCTAAATTAAATAATGAATATTTGATAATATTAAAACCATTGGGAAAATTCAGGAATCATGTATGTTAGGAAAATAAATATCAAAGCCATCTGAGAAGAAATCCTTCGGAGAGAGAAAATAAATGACATGTGGAACCATTTCAGTTATTGTCCATATCTTTTTAATGTAGATTTTGATACATGAGAATGGATTAGAGACCAAATTTTTAATTTCCTTCAGTCACCTTCACTCATTAACTATTTTCACTGATGTCTCATAAGACTAGTATCGAGAATATCTTGTTAATTCAGGGTCCCGAACTTGAAAACATAATTATTATTAAATGCTGGTCACCCCAAAGAAAGAAACCTAATTTTTAACTGACTAGTGACTCATTACCATGCTATCAATACTCACAATCTTGCAGATATTGTGGTTATCAGGAGATGCTACCACTCTTCCTACATCTGCACTTTCTGAGGGATGCAAAATTCTGACTTTTCCATATAGGATAGAACTCAAGTTAGCTGATAGCTCTAATCCCAATTATTAGGGATCAGCTGTATCCAGTCCTGCCATTATGCACTATAAAGACCATGATTTCTGTCAAATTTTAAGTCTTTAAACCATTTTTGTACCACTCGGGATCACATTTTTATTTGGTTTTCTCATTACTCTTTTAGAGCCCTCTACTTGAACCAATTCACTCCTCACTAGTGTGGTCATTTGTCATCTATGTACAATACATGACTAAACCATTTAAATCAAATTTCCCCCAATCTTATCACTAATCGGAGCCACTCCCAAGTCCTGTCTAGTGTGTGCTCATTTCTGGCTCTGTACTTTCTAATCTTGCCTTGCCACTTATCCATCTCAACATCCTCATCTCAGCTGCTCATTTTTTAACCATGTTATTTCACTTTAACACATAAAATAGAAACAATAAATTATTCCTGAAAAAACAACCTTTTGCACATACTTTTTAAGATGCCTTAATCATCAACTATGCCAGCACTCTTAACTAAAAGATCTTCCTCCACTTCAACACCAAGAACAAATCACCCAACAATTCCTTTGGAAGTCATATGCAGTAACCATTGAGTCCAAGTCATCCTAGAAATATACAGGCTGATGATAAGCACTTGGTAAATGTGGTATGCCTTCTGCAGGATGTTTCCAAAGAGGTAAAGACCAACTAAATCGTAGCACTGCCATTTGTCCCCAGGTTGCTCATCATAAGGCTGCTAATAGGCCATTTTCCAATATCATATATTTGGATTTTTAACATTAATCCTATGTGTATTTTATTTTTTTAATTTTATCTCATGAAATGGCACCATGCTTTGCCAAATCCAGAAACAGTTTTCTGGGGCTACATGGATCTTCTCAAGAAAGTTAATTGGCTTACAAGGAACATGTCAGTCAGTTTTCGGTGGGTTAGCAGATATGCAAATGCTATGGATGATTCTTTGGCTAAACAAAGGGTTTCAAGGGTTGAATTGTTTTGGACTACCTTATAATTGTATTCTGTATGGTTATGTTCAAATCTCTAAGGGGAGGTAACATCTCATGGCTCCTCTTAGGATGAATGTACACTTTCTTCTCTTATTAATAAAATCATCATTCATTCATCAAAAAGAAATGGCACCATGCTCAATAAGACAAGTGCCCTGTTGACTCCCTAATGGGGTAAATAAGGAAAAAGTAATTTGTTTTTTTTTCCTCTTCTTCTCATGCCCATAATGAGGAAAGAGAGAAGATAACAATGAGGAAAAGGAGGAAAAAGAAGTTGGTATTCTAGAAAGAAAATAAAATACTAGTTAAAACACAGGCTCCCATCTTACATGACAAGAAACACCTGGGCTTGGGTAAGATGGATGAGTTCAGCTTCTGAAGTGCAACTATCTTATTTATAACATGATTTTTTTTTTTTGATCAATAACTTCGAAAGAATTTCATTAATTAGAAAACTTTAGGATACAACAAGAAGTTGTGAAAGAAATCAGCTTAGTAGCTGACCCAGGACAGAATTACAAATGTGCCCAAAACTTTATAACATGAAAAATGTATAAGCCTTGTGCTCTTTTGTCATTTCAAATATGCCTCAATATGTGAAACTTACACATTTTGTGCATTGCTTCACCCATGAAACTAAATGTGCATATACTCTAAAGCCTTTTAAAACACTGGTTAGCTCAATAATGACTAATAAGACTGATGACATGGACCAAGAGCTGAATCCTTGATATAGTCTCACAATCAGTTCTAACATGAGCCACCATATTTCATACACCAGTTAGGTCAAAATACCTACTCAGTGCTTCTTTCCTAACAATCACCATGTTATCTCTCTAAGGACATTACAACACAATTTCTTGCTAGATCAATAAATATCATATGAAAACTTCTCATAATTGGTCTCCATGACATAAAGCAAAATCAGAATTTCTCAATTTTATTATACTTCAAGATTCTTATGTGATTAATATATATTTGTAGTCATTTCCCATGCTTTCATATATATGGTGTCATTTGACAAATCTCTCTCCTTTCTGCAGACACAAATTCTAATTGTGTTGCCATCCTTATTATGCTATAAGTTCTTCCATCTGGGATTTCATTACAATTGAAACAATAAAGCATCAAGCAAAACAAGGCAAAACTCCTAATCAATGGTCCAAATGAAACCACTTGACATTGATTAAAGCCAGTAAAAACTTTCTTAAACAAAATCATCCAACTGAACTTCCAAGTCAAGTCAATTCAATCTCATGTCCTTAAAAAGCGTTGGATTAAACAAATCACGATCCACACAAACCATCTATATCTGAAACTAGTCATATACCATCTTTAGACCAAAAAAAGAACCCTCTTAATTCAACCAATCTCCTCCATAATAACTTGAAGAGTCTGCAAATGATTGTGTATGACCTCAATCTGAGGGTGAGATCGGCCATTATACATAAAATAAGACAGTTTTCCCTTTATCTCAATCCAACTACAAGCAGGTTCTTTTTTGGCCCCATGATGCTTCATTATTGCTCTAATGCTTGCCGCATTCTCCCACATCCCTTTCTCAGCATATATATTTGAAAGAAGTATGTACATCCCTTCATTTAAAGATCGGTTGCTGAAAATTTCTTTTGAAACTAGTTCACCTAGCTCTAGATTTCCTTGGATTCTACATGCACCGAGTAGGGTTTCCCAAGCATGTGTTGGGAGACCTACATGTATTTGTTTGATGAAGTTATAAGCTTCATTTAGCAACCCTGATCGTCCAAAGAGATTAACCATACAAGCATAATGTGCTGGCTCTGGAATCAAATTCCAATCCTCCATAGATCTGAAGTACTTCCAACCTTCATCAACTAGCCCTCTATGAGCACATGCAGTCAAGATGCCTAAAAAAGTAACATTGTCTGGTCCTGATCCAGCTTGAATCATAGAAGAGAAGAGTGCAAGGGCTTCAGTGCCAGATCCATGGTAAGCTAAGGCGACAATCATGGCATTCCAAACCACTGTGTCTCGTTTTATAATACTCTCAAACACCAATTTAGCATCATCAATAAATCCACATTTGGAATACATAGTGATTAATGAGCTTGTGATCATTGTATCATCTTCATAACCATTTTTTATCACCGAAAGGTGGATAGCTCTTCCCCAACTAATTATAGCAAGAGTACCACAAACGGAAACCACAGTGGTGAATGTCCCTTGAACAGGCTTAAGCCCATCTTTCATCATCCTGCAATACAAAATCAAAGCTTCCCCACTTTGATATCCAGCAATTATTGTATTCCATGATGTTTCATCTCTACACGGCATATTCTCAAAGAAATTCCATGCTCTGTCCATGTCATTTTGTTGCACATAGCCCTGTAAAATTGAATTCCATGAAACAATGCTTCGCTTTGGCATCTGCATGAACAATTGTAGAGCATTGTCCAACATTCCTTTATGAACATAACCACAAATCATTGAGTTCCATGCAACCGTATCCCGATAAGGCATTTCTTCAAATAACTTACACGCATCTTCAATCTTTCCATTATCCAAATAGCCCTGAATAATTGCTGTCCAAGCTGCTACATCCTTCTCAAGCATCTTATCAAACAAGTGCTTAGCACTCTCTATCTTCCCAACTCGTGAGTAACAAGTTATCATGGTGGTCCAGGAAGCAACATCTCTTTGAGGCATTTTGTTGAATAGTAGGCATGCCTCTTCAAGATATCCATTTTCAACATAACCGGATAACAATGCATTATAAATGGAAGTAGTCTTTACAGGAACTTGATTGAACAACTTCTGGGCTTCACTTACAAGACCGTAGTTTAAGTACCCATCAATCATAGTTGCCCACGAAACAGAATTCCTAATTGGCATGCCATCAAAGAGTTCCTCTGCCTTGTCAATTCTTCCATTGCTTATGTAGCCAGCAAGCATAGAGTTCCAAGAAACTACATTCCTTTCCGGCATTCTATCAAATAAATCACGAGCTTGTTCCAACTTTCCACACTTCGCATATCCTGTCAACAATGCAGTCCATGATACAACATTTCTAAAAGGCATGGTATCAAAGATCTCATGTGCTTCACTGATCTTCTGATTTTGAACATACCCAGATATCATACAGTTCCATGTTACCAGATTCTTCATGGGCATTTCATTGAATAACCGGCAAGCTGCCTCAACGTCCCCCTGCCTAAAGCAATTCATAATATTTGAGTTCCACCGATATACATCCTGATGAAGCACAGATCTATTTCCATGAGAACTAATAAACCGAATCAATAATTTCTTCTCCACCAAAGGCAAAAATGGGGCGCAAAGCCCGAACCTGTATTCCAGATATTGAAATCGAGTAAACATGTTTTATCACTTTCTCTTCCCCTCTGGTCTGACATCCACTTCAGCACCAGACCATCTATGCTCACCAACCTATATTGTAAGATTCATAATTACAAATAGACCAAACCAATCCTTCTAAACTAAAGACTCCTAGAAACAACAATTCAGTAGAATATGCAGAACATTACGTTGGTCCAGGAAAAAAATACAACAGTTTCATGAATAAAAATGATCAATCAAGAAAAGGAAACCAGAAAAAAAGAATCAAATTTGAAAAGCATTTTTAAGTGAAACTAACATTTTTATTGATTTTCTCCCTAAAAAAATTATTCCTCTTGTTGATCTGGATGAGTTTATGAGCTATATCTATCAATCAAGGAGAGAAAGATCGGAAAATAAATCAGATGAAAGGACAAAAGAAGCAGAGAGACGATTATCGAATTCTAGGGTTTTGACTGTTCTTCGAAGGGTACCTTGCAGATAGGGCAGCTAGCCTTTAGAGCTACAGCTCTCGCTTCAAGCTGAGACCCCTTTGGTTTCTGATTTCTCTCAGCATTCCGTCTCTGCGCTTCGATCTTCTGCTTCCCCCTCGTCATCTCCGCAGCTGACTCTCTCCCACGTTCCCTCTACAAAGGAAGAATGGAACCCAGCTAAGATCGGTCACTCCATTTATTCCTACAATATTACTTAGCGTGTTCTCATCGTTATCGGTGGGCCGTGGGCCGTTCGCCCGTTTACTATGCAGAGGCCTTCTTCGGACGGCCTGCCACTGCCACCATTTTCAGCCACATGACGAGTAAGAGAAGGTCCACATAAAACCTGTTTGGACTTTGGATGGACCAGATATCTGGGCTCAGCACTTGACGTAGGCACCGAAGGCCAGCCTGTATGGGCTGGGCTTACGCTACAGATCTTTATCCATGGGCCGGGTCTGGTCTATTTTTGGGATCAGTTACCACATGGCTAAAGTTGTGCGGCTTTTTTTGTAAGCATGAAACCAGATAGAGTTCTGTAGCTCGGCGTACAACAAACACCTTTTGGTAAATTACAAAGACACCCATAGTATAGGGTGATTCTGTCATTCCACCAATCGAGTGTCTTAGGTTGTTTAGGACCGATGCTGTTTTTTTGATAGGTGTTTTCTCAGAAAACAATGCTGCATAAGTATGCTGTTTTCTCGGGTTTTCTATTTGGTGCTATCTGTTACTGCCACATAGGTATTTTCAATGTCATATCAGTACACTATTCTTAGCAACAGCGGAAAAAAGGGAAAACACCAAAAAGGACGTTTTCTCAAACCACACCTTTAGGCTCCGTTTGGTTTGTGTTAGCAACAGCGGAAAAAAGGGAAAACACCAAAAAGGACGTTTTCTCAAACCACACCTTTAGGCTCCATTTGGTTTGTGGGATGGGATGAGAAAAATGGAATATTCCAAAAATATTCTCTTTTCTCATATTTGTTTTGAGAGAAAGAGGGGGATAGGATGAGAAAAAGGTGGGATGCCAGATCCCAAAATCGTGGATTTGGGGTTGCACCAAAATAGTACAACCCCGATGGAAAAACTCGAGAAAATCTATCTCCTTCCTCACTCCCACATGCCTCGTCCATTCGACTGGAACTCGGTACTCTTCTTCGTCTTCCTCCTCCCATGCCTCATCCTCTGTCTGGTTTCGCTGGGCACCGGTTTCACAGGCCGCCACTGCCAAGAGTTGCAGCAGCAGCAGTCAGGAAATAAAGAATGTGGCAGCTGAGTTGTTGCTGCCAGTAATTGAAGGAATAAGGCTGCCACTGCTAAGAGCTGCAGCAGTAGTGAAAAGGGAGGAAGAAATAGAGACGGTGAATGTGGCAGGAAGTCGGATGAGGGAGGAGAAATAGAAAATAAAAGAAAGAATGGAGGGAGAGAGGGAGAGGGAGAGAATGAGAAATCGCCGCTGCTTCTCCTCTGGTTCGAACAGCGAGGAGAATGAACAGTAGATTGAGTTCCAATACTTCGGTCCTTCGGTCCCTTTTACACTTTCCCATCCCATCCCATCCCAATAAAACCAAACAATGTAAAATTAAATTTTTATACTTTCTCATTCCACCCAAATCTTCCCACAAACTAAACGGAGCCTTACTGATTTCTAAAGCATAGTCTGAGAAAAATGACTAACCAAATAAAGGACATTTTCTCAGAATTTGAATTTCTGATACAGTACTGATATGGCATCGTTTTCTGAGTAAACGGAATCATTCTCAAACACCTACTCAGAAGCTCAACCCCAATAAAACAAAGCCTCTGCTCCTTCCATCTTGAATTCCTACCCTATCCATCTTTACTTGTATGGACTATTCTTGCAACAAGATTATATACTCAAATGAAAACAGACATGAAAATAAAAGAAAGTATTCAAATTTCTTGAGATACAAATTTGAAAAAGGTGAGGTACTATAGATGAGGTTTGTAACAGAAAAAACTAGACAATTCTACATTCCCCCATTGTAAAGGAAAACTTATCTGTTTGTTATTTTCCTTGTAAGTATCTGAAATAATTTGCAACATATGGTTTTTCATCCGAATTGATGCTACATTGTGATAATAGAATTAAAATGTTAGTAAATGAAATTAAGAAGTTACAGTGTCGTCACTACTTCCTTAGATCCTTGGTAATTCGTGTGATTAATATGGTCTTAGTATTACTGAGGCTCCTTCCCTTTCTCGTAAATTATTTACACATTTATCATATTCTTTTACTTTCTAGGTAAATAATATAATGGCCATTTTATCCATAAAAATCTATTATTAAAATGGACATTTTTGTCCCATCTAAGTGTTGGCAAATTTCCCTCAAGTGAAAAAGTTTTTTATCCACTTAAAAGATGGGCATTATTTACCTGGGCAAGTATATACAGTAAAATAAATTTTTCCTGATCCCCACATAAATCTGAAAATAGAACATAAATTTCTTGGTCAATGGGAACCAAAATCTCATTGATGAACTTTCCCCCTCTCAAAATCCAAAAAACAAACAGACCTTTGGTAGAAAAATTCAAACTCAATTACATTGATAAAACAAATTATCTTCTAATAAAACTGTGGAGAATTTGTTGTGATTAAATTCGATGGGAGTAAAGTGTAAAACCATTTCTCAACTTATGCATTGTTGGAAGATCAGCTTCATTCAGCGCAAAGCCCATTCGAAAAGCCTTTTACAGCCTTGCATTGGGAATATCTCCGTACTTATGTACTTTATTTCATGGGGAGATATTCCCAATGCAAAGCCATAAAGGCTGTTCGAAACTAAGAGCAGGCCATGCACTGACTGAAGCCGAGTTCTGTTGGAAGACAACGAGAATAATACAAAATTAATAGGTTCCATGCAAGCCATGTATGTACTGCAGATGAAGCAGAGAGCTTTGCTTTCTGTCCCACCACTTGTGGCTTCAGTATTTACCTATATCAAATGCTACAGAATAACAAATTAAATCTGAAGAAATATGGTGATTAGGTTGTCAAAGAGATGAAAATAGGTAAACAAAGGGCCATCAGGCCCATGGTCTTCTGCTTCGTGATATAAAAACTGAGACCAAGATAGAATAATACGAGACCAGTGAAGTACCACCACCACCACATCAATAGTCGATGCATGACTGGAATTAGAGGACATACTTTTGGATATCTTGCCCTTGTGACTGCAGAAAATAAATTTTCAGTTTTAGCAACAATAATAATAACAAATTTCTCATCCATGTAAACCATCAAAAGATACATCAATGAATAAACTGACTCACCTGAAAGTATATCAATGTGAAAATGACACCAAGGTTCCAACAGGCATGCATTATGATAGGAGCAAGAAGGTTTCGTGTTTGAGCATATACAAGCCCCAGAACCACCCCTACAACAATTAATGAATTTAATAAAAGGACTTTCTTTATGAACTTAAAATACCAAACACATAAAGCAAGTGTTTCTGCTTATTTCATATTTGAGCCATTATAATAGATCCCTGGCATACTTGGTGGCAATTGATACAACTCAAAATGGTATGTCAACAGTAGGAAGAATCAAAGAACTACCACTCAATGAACTAAAATAACAGCAATGATCTAAGGGCAGTTCCATTAAAAAACAAAAACTGCAACAAAAGGAATGCTGTTGATGATGATCATTCATTTTGAACTTGAAGCCTTACCAAATATTAAAATCTCTGTAGACTTCCCAGGAGATTGGTGCGCAAGTGTAAAAACAATAGAGCTTACAATAATAGATAAGGGTACCGGTAACCTGAAAATTATGTAACAATGAAAAACAATTCTAGTTACTCTCCTGTTGATTTGTAGATTGTTGGAGGTAGAATAATAGTAAATCTCAGGGTACTTGCCATTTTGTCAGGGATGTCATCAGAAAACCTCGATATATAGTCTCCTCACAAAGTGGTGCTAGAATTCCCAGGATGCCAAGTAAGGAAGCATTGCTGGATGAAAAGGAAAAAGGGAAAAAATCATGAAAACATTGATTGTATGATAGTAAGACCTTCAATATCAAATTTGCAGGAATATGGAAGAGAGATCTGATTCAATTTCCAACTATGAGATCTTGAGCCAAATTATAAAACCTTATGCTTGATACACCAATAAATGGCAACAAGCGGACCAAAGACTCTGCCTGGATCAGAAGGAAATTAAAGCAGAAGTTAAACACAATAGTCTAAAATGCAGAAGCCTATAGCTCTTCAAACATAGTAATATGAAGAAGAATCCTAGAAAATTGGTAATATATATAGGTTGAAATCATTAAAAATGGAAAAAAATAAAGAATAATCTATTCACTTAAAGGTGATTTATTTCAAGGTTACCAAAAAGAATCAAAATACATGCCAGAAACCAGATATGTCAGTAACTGGTATGTTTGTGCAATTTAAACCATGTGGAGTAAAATATATCATGCTCTTGTTCGCTGTGTAATAGAGGACCTCATTTTGTATCTGATTGGCATCAGGACCAGATATGAAAGATTTAATGAGAAAAACAACACTTGATGCAGCTACTAGACCTCCAATACCCCACAAAAGCCAACCATTCTGAATGTTGAATGGTTGGTGCCATCCTGTAAAAGAGTCAAGAAATGAAGCAACCATGTTATATATTCAGATAAGCTAACACCAGGGTGATAGTTGGACACCATTATCTATATCAAGCTATAAAATCACCATTGTTTCATTGTAGAAGTGATTAATAAACTCCTATATGTCACAATCAATGAGAGGACTACCAAGTACATATCTTTTCAAGTTCCAAACTACTATCTAGTATCTACTGTATTCTTAAAAATGAGAAAATCAAGTAACCATAAATTATGAAAATGAAGAAATGTAAGAGAAAACTGATAAAGAGAAATAACAATGACAATGAATGATTATGAGTTTTGCAATGCCATACGAATGAGATTTCCCCTCACACCTCACCTTAGGCTCAGTTTGGAAGGAGTACAAATATGTACACTGCAAATACATATAAAATATAAGGTTTTGCACTCCATATTTGTATTTGTAGTTTTGTACTCCTTCCAAACTGAGCTTTATCTGAAAATTACCCTGAGAAATAATGATATCCACATCTTTAGGGAAGTGAGGAAATACATTGTGAACAATCCATTTAGACAAACCTATAGATTACTACAACCATCAGATGCTCCAAAGGTAGTTTAGACTAGAGGGGATTTTATATTCTCCACCTGTGGATACATGTAGTGTACATGCAAAATGGATAGGGACCAAATTTTTTATGGTTCTACCATGTCAGAATTCAAGCTCACAAAATTTTCATAAAATAACAAAACATAAACCTTCTGAAAATAGGTCTTTAAATCTGATGATTGAAATCATCTAAAGGCTAGCTTTGAATCGTAGGATCTCTTAGTTGAAACCCATCAAATGAAGACTTCTGATTACATTTAATTTGCATCAAATTCAAAGAATTCGTTTAGTAAAAGCAGACATTCTGGTGAAGAATATTGCATGTTTGCACTAATAGAAGTTGAGAGAGAGAGAGAGAGAGAGAGTGGTCATGATTAAATAAAAACTAGAACGGTTCTAGGAAGTATTCTACTTTTTTATAGATACTCCAATAAGTCACAAGATAAATGCAGATATACTTCTGCTTGTTGTATTTACATGGTTAAGCATTAAATCAGAATCATATACATACTGCAAGACAAACCCTTGCAGAATTAGTTGATGAGAAATAACAAACTAATTTACAGTGTTTGCATGGAATGATGGGCAATCGAGAAAGATTGCATCCACTAAATGAATGTAGAGGACAGTAGGAACTTGAGATGGATGTGACGGACAAGTAGGACGGAATTGGAAATTAATGCTTTTCTAGAAAACTAAGTTCAGGTCCAATTGATAACATGAAAAGTCGACCAAGATGGTTTGATTATGGGCATAGAAGAGCACTAACTCCAAAAGTGAGAGAAAGTGATCTAATGAAAATTGAGGTTCTACAAGTGCCAAAGAAGTTTATAAAGGATGTAAGTAGAAATAGTGGAGAATAGACCTAAGGAATCAATTTAACCATGGATATTGATAGAGTGGAATAATGAAACAGGATCATTATAGCTGATGCTATGTATTAGGGAAGATGTTGTCATGTTGATTATAAAGAAGTGGGATATTAGTAATTCATTTTTAGTAATAACCACTGAAACTGATAAAAACAAACAGTGATGATAGAAAAAGAACTTTGACCAAGAAATAGGAATTTTGTATTTTTTAGTGGGGAGCATTGAAGGATTCCAAAAAGTATCAAAGTTTTATACTTAATTCCCAAGGTGAATATAAGAAATTTGTGTAGTGTCATACATACTGTAAGAGAAAACATTATCTGGAAACGGTTGATAAGGACTGACAAACACATACAGAACTGACAGCTTAACTGCAGTTTTTAGTCTGCACAGGAAGAATAGATATTATTACAAGGGAAAAATAGGAGTGCTTCTCCAAAAGAAACTGACTACAATTTATACATACAATTCATCCAGAAAGAGTCGAATTGCTTCTTCATCAGTGCCATGTAGGTGTGGTGTAACATTCTCAGCATGGGGTTGCATCACTCCAAGTCCTGCTGATTCCACAATTCCTGTCAATAGAATGCTGAGAAGGTAGCATTAGAATCTAAAATAAATACATTCTCGATTGGTCAGCATGGCAAAATTCAATGTAAGTGCCATGATTATGATAGGAAAGAAAGCATAGATGTATCATGATACATGGATGATCTACCACTTAAATATGTATTAAAACATACTATAATAGGCTATAAATATGTCAAGTTAAACGAACTACCAATGTTTTGCATTAATTATGCCCTCAGTTTCTCTTATTATAAATGCAAATGAGCACCAGAAATTGCATAAAACAAAGATCTTGGTGAAACCACCTTGGTTAAGATCTGAATGGTGCACATATAGGTATTACTCAGATTTCATTCTCTCAGAATGAAAGAAAGGGAAAGTTTGCATGCTGCAACAATCCATCTAGAACAAGATGCAAGAAGCTGTCTGTTTTCTGATGGCATGGTCATAAAATGACAGTGCAAAGAATGTCACTCAAAAAAGTTTTCCTTCATACATCTTGGTCTATATATATATTTTCTTGGGAAGAGATCTTAGAAAGGGATTTTTCACCACTCAGGGAGAGCATATTCCTCTTTAACAGATCCAACATGAACAGAGTGAGATATCTTGACTCATTTAGGTAAATTTGACCATAATCTAAAATCTGAACATGTTAAAGTGTTTGATCACAATTCATTCACACCAATGCCTTATGGTTCAATCTAGAATAACAACAATCTAACATTTAAGAAATTATCAAAAAAAAAAAAACAATCTAACATTTAAGAAAGCAAAGTTCATGCTATGATACACATATGAAATAGATCACCTCATCAAGTATGGCATCATTACATATAATATAATCTTCCAGTCCCATGGGACATCCCATGCTTGGAGAAGTAGCCATTGATCATTCTCCAAACTCTGAAATAATTTAAAAAGACATGCCAACCCATCAGAGTGAAAGGACAAAGCACAAATGAACATTAAGCCTGATTGTGAGCTCAACATTTATGATCAAATAATAAAGGAAAGAATTGAAATAGATACAAACACATATTCTGGTATACAGGATATTTTTATCAGTATACACACACAGTTTCCTGCAGATGCATTAAACATCAAAGCTTATATGATTTTAAATGTGGGTCTAAAAGGGACTAAAAACCACTTACATGAGAGAAGAGGTACTTTAAAAATGCATTCAAGAAGATTGGAACATCAGTATAGCGCTTGAGCATCAGAAAGCCAATAAACATCATTGACTGTTTGTTGAATTCTACAATGTATGCTTTTCAGCCAAAAAGAATGAAAAATGAAGAATTTTAAAGATGAAAGAAAAAGAGAAGCGCCGGGGAACAAATTAAAGATGCCAAAAATGTAAGTACCTAATAAATAAAAGCCAACCAATAGATTATACAATAAATAAGAACTAATAGATGTATGCAAATACAGTTAATTCATTTTCAGAAAGAAGAACCATTATAAGAATGGGAGAGAAAGAGAGAGAGAGCAAACATAACCTACATGGTATAGAATAAGCCAGAATCTTATATTTGACATATGGTCTATTAACTTCTCTGATCAATACATATGGCTCACTAGCAACCTATTTAGTTCAAATTGATTTGCCACAATGTTGAGCAAATCAGGTATCTAAAGTGATGGCAATTGGACAATTCTAAACATTCAACATGGAGATGAAAATTGGATGGGAAGAAAAGTTAAGATAATGATTGAAATAGATGGAAGTAATGTTAAGTCATCAATTCAGCATTGTTGGTTGCCTTCATTTAAATAAAGCATGTGGCATATGCAATGTGCCAATGCAGGAAACAAATAATATATTATACAAAGCTATTTTTCAGTTATTTATGAATATTATTAGCAAAAAAGAGAGAATTTTCAGAAGTCCCTCAAATATGTGGCCCAGTTTGAGGGCTCAAAACTTCTACTCTTTTTTTTATTTGATCAGCAAAAAATCCTTCTATCATTTGGTCTAATGTGATTTCATTATATGATATTTTATCACCTATATTATATCCAAAGACACAACAACTTGGACATGAATCAAGCTAGTTACGACCAATTGCAGATAACAAACAATTACAACTTTCTCTATTTCTGAGATTTTTTTTAATATAGATTTATTTATTTTACAATGCCTTTAAAATTTTTTATATGAATTCGCACCAAACATTAATAGATGAACACGTTAGTTTAGGGCCAAGAAAGTTGAAGTTACAGTAGGTTCCTGTTTTCATGTCTTATGGGAAATGGGGATAGGATTCTATTTCCTAAAAACTAGGACACATATATGGCTACGGGTATCCCATGAGTATCCTTATATCGCGCTTATATGTCAAATAGAATTAAATTTTTAACTTACATAGAGGTTTTATTGTATGATTCCTGAAATTATACCGTTTTACACGCTTCACAAGCTGTTAGCACTATAAATTTGGGAACACCTTGTAAGCTGTTAGCAGTATTCATCAATCTTCAACATGGGCACATACACATTACGCATGTACAGGTATCCGATCCTCCGTAATTATGTTTGTCACAGTTAATTAATGAAATTAAAATGAAGCTTTGGTTTGTTATTTTCGTTGGGTTTGACCCTTAAGAAATTCTCTTTTGGTTTGACTTAGTGTCAATCCATTTAGCAATTGCAACAATTACAACGCAGATACCACTAGCAATGCTAGCTCCACAGGTTTACTGTCACACGGATACTGTCATCACCGCCAACGAGGAATGCGCTACTCACCCGGACCTAGATGTTCCTCATTAATGGTGATGGCACCACCCCTATCTCTGGTTCCCCCCCCCCCCCCCCCTCTTCCAATAGGAGGTTAGAAGATTTACCTTCTCGGAACTGACTTCCTTGGACCCTTCTGTTGACTTGAACGAACGAACCCTATAAACCTCTCCTCTGAAACGCGGAACATTGAGTTCCTTCTTTCCCCTGTAATGGCGTCTGGTAAAAACTGTTCGATTTTGTTGAACATGAGAAGAAGCACTTCGGTTTCTGAGAAGAAACCTCGGTGTCCCCAATTGATTTACTGATAAAACCAACGACATTTCGGTTCAGTTTCGGGTTAGAGAGGCTTGTGAGCGGTTATTCATTCATGAGCCATCACCTTCCGCAGTTTATCATCTCCCAAACGCCAGAGCAAGAGATTTTTTTTTAGGAGACATGAAAAGTACAATTACGGAAAAGCCCATTTTTCAATGAAATATTTGCCGATCCGAGTTACCACTGACCACTTCAATAGGCTCGGTACAATTTGTGTTGACTCGCCGATCCAACTCCGATCCGTGGCACTCAATCCCTTATTTATTCAATTTAATTACTCATTTTCATTGTTGCTGATATAGGTTTCGTTTTTTCTTTTTTCTAATAAAAAATTGTGAATCTTGGAGCTTTAATTGGTTATTGTAATTGCTCTAGGAGGGCTTGACCAAGGATGCATATCTCGTGAGTCGTATGTATCGTAGCGATACAAATCCATATTGACTTGTATCACATTATATCATTCGATATGTAGTGTTTCTCTACAAAAAGTTGTAGGTGTAGTGATTCAAACTAAACTCACCAAAACACACCCAAAGCCTACACCTTAAATGCAATTCTAAGCCATTAATCCACATTTGTCCTTGCAATAATAAATAAAATAAAATAGACTTTATTAACTTTGGTCTCTACATGTTATTTTTTCAATCTCTATTACCCAAAAAAAACTCTAATTAAAATTTTAAAAATTATAATACTCAAAAACAGTATTTTATAAACTAATACAACAAATAATCTATCAAATTCATGTTTATATATTAATATCAAGAAAATTATACAAATAAAATGTTAAGAATAGAATAACTATTTTAATACTTAAAATTTATAAATTTGCAAATGATATGCATATTAAAATATTATATATTTTTACAAATTATTAATTAACATTTTAATTTATATTAATAAGTAATAACAACATACTTATTATTTATAAAAAAGAAAAATATTATTTTTTAAGACTATAACATTAAATTGAATTTATCAAATCCATTAATCTACATTTATTTCAAAAACTTATTTTTCATATTAGAAAAATTATATAAATAAAATATTAATAAAGAAATGATTGTTTTAGTAATTAAAAAATTATGAATTTTTATATGATATGTATAATATAGATTTTAACAAATTTGATATATTTAAGTTAAGATTATATTTTTATAAATTATTAATTAATATTTTAATTTGTATTTGAGAATTTAATATTTAGTTGACTTTTTGTTAATATTAAAATTTAAAAAATAAAAATAATTTTTATAATAATTAAAATATAATAGGTGCATATGTTGAGTGCCTTGGACTTTTGATTGATACATTGTAAATAAAATTATATGATATCTATGCAACACGATGTCTTAATTATAATATATTTCTTCATATATATCCCTAAAATATACATTTTCTATGTATTTATATACTATTTATGATTATTTTAATATTAAATATAATGATAATATTATATTTATGAAATTTATATATATTTTCTTAACGTATCCATATATTTTCATATTTTTTGTTCGTATCCATGTGTTTTCAAAACGTATCTATATCCATACCTGTATCCAAATTGTTTGATACCAATAGTTTAATCCTTCAACTTGATGTAGGTTATAACATTCCAACTAAGCCCCACATGGGAATGCCAAAAGCTTCGGAATGACTAATGAAGGACTCTGAGTAGCTTTTCCGCAGCTCAATAAACAGAATGTACCCCAAACGCAAAAGCCCTTCCAAACGGGCTCTAAGTGTAGTAGCATATGGATGCCCTATCAACATGTTGCTTTCTTTGTCCACTGTTAAAATTGCTTCAAGGAGAATTGGGTGGGTACTGGGTAGGAGATGTCAAGGGCTGTTAAACACTTGTTGAGTGAAGTTTTCAGCAGAACTCATAGATGGAGAGGTATCGTATCTAGTCCTGGAATTCCAGACCCCAGTTGGATATTGGTATCAACTACCAAGCGATGTGGGGGGAATTCTACTACTAGGATGCCATTGAGAATTCTTGATGCGCAGAGAAATTCTACTACTTGATACTTCCCGATAAATCAGTGAGTTCGAAAGCATTCCACTTCAACGAGATGCCAACCAAGAGACCATGGAAATTCTACGAGGATTTCCCAATATGGGGGTAATCACATAAAATTTAGGGTATAATACAAAAACCTTCTCTGAAATTTCTAAGAATCATAAAAACCTCCCTTACAGTTTTATTTTAATAAATACCTCCCCTAAACTTTTTAAAAATTCGACATAAGCCTCCCTTCCCCCACCGTCCCAGATGGAGAACATTAGACTAATGCATCAGTTTTTTCCAAATATACATTCTGCCCTTTTATAAATTATTTTACATACAAAATTACTAAAATAATCCCATTTTAACTCAACAAAAATACATGTTTTAGCAATGTTGTATGTAAAATTACTGAGATGATTGTTAAAAGAGGTTTTTGTTGAGTTAAAATGGTGTTATTTTAGTAATTTCGCATATAAAATAATTTATAAAATGGTAGAATGGGCATTTGGAAAAAACTGATGCATCAATTCATGGGAGGTATTTGTTAAAATAAAACTATAGGAGAGGTTTTTTAAGATTGTCAGAAATTTCAGGGGAGGTTTTTGCATTTTACCCTTAAATTTATCATGGTAGTCCTGAAAACTGTGCCTCAGTCTCAGACTAGGTGCCAAAGAGAATTCTTGATGCGCCATTTCACTGGTTCCGATGCTGAGAATCTGGATCAATGAATGGGAGCCAATTAGGCCATTCAGATTTTCAAATCCTCAATCCCAGAGCTGAATAATGGGAAATGATCAAAAGCCCCTTTTCAACTGGTCTCTCTTCTACAATGCCAAATTAGCTAATCAACTCTGGAACAAGTACAGCTTGCTACTTGTACGGTTGTACCCCTGTACACTAGGTTCTTTTAATATCCTCAAAATCTCAAGGAAATAAAAAAGAAATATTATGCTGAGTCAAAATTGCAAATGGTCCAGTAAGTAAATTTTACACCGAGTCGTCTTAACCTAAAAGAAAGCACCTTTTTTATCTTCTCCAATCAAATCAATTGCAACTATTGTTTCTTGAGTGCATTCATCTTATCCCTGAGATAATAAAGCTTGGCCCTTCTTACTTTCTTCTTGTCCAGCACTTTCACCTCCTTTATGTTGGGAGAGTATCTGTTATCACCAATTTTTTCAGGTATTAGAGTTGAGGTACATAAACTGTTAAAAAGAACAGCATGAAAGAAAAAAGAAAGTACCAACATAATACCAATAATGGTCCCTCTATCTTATTGGAATCTTTGAATACTTACCCTTCATGAAAGGGGAAAAATAATTGCTGTTTTAAAGAATGCATCAATGCAAATAATGAATTATCAAAGGAAAAAAGAAAAGACAAAACTAAGTGATTTGAATAACCTCTAAGCCGCATCACTACATAAGTGTAATTGGAACAAATGAATTTGGCAATTTACAGGATGCCGTATTATTGCATTAATACAACTTTTGAAACCATAAAGATTAAAAATCATGAAAATATAAACATGAGTTGGCTAAAAGCACAAAGGGGACGATTGCAGCAATGATTTCAAAAGAGGAATAATCATTATATAATGTTGTACAGTTGTCCCTTTCTAAATATTCTTCTCATCATTATACATTAAAACATAATTAACTACAGCATGTCAGTTTTAAGTCAAATCAATATCAATTTCCAATTACTGTATGGCAGTAAGGTAAAAGAAAAACCAACCAAATTCCCAAAGAAATATACAAACTTTGTAACCCCACAGCTTAATAGTTGATGACAACAGAGGTATATTTTTTTCTGCTAACTAGCTATTTCTCAAGTTTCCCAATCCCAATCACAATACATGATTAGATAGTTAATACTAAATTAAGATAATCATCATCATCTAAGCCATGTCCCAACTACATGGGGTCGGCTACATGAATCCTGTTTCACCATTCTATTCTGTTTAGTGTCATACCAATTGTTAAAATTTGAGCCATTAGATTTTCTTACTTCAACCCATGTCCTTCTCGGTCTGCCCCTAGCTCTTCTAGCCCCTTTAACTTGTAACAAATCACTTCTTATAGGTGTTGTAGATGGTCTGCTCTGCATATGACCAAAGTCCAAACCTTCTTAATCTGCTTCACCTATTGGAGCCACTCCTAGGTTCCTTTGAATGACTTCATTTCTGAGCTTGTCCTTTCTAGATTTTTCCACTCATCCATCTTAAGACTTGCATTTCTGCCACATTCATTTTTTGGGCATGTTGCTTCTTCACTTCCCAACACTGTCCCATACAGTACAACCCTGTAATAATTTCATCCATCCACAAATCTAATTAATGAGTTAGATCAGATCAAATTGAATTTAATTGGATTGGTCTTGTTAGTTGTTATAAATGAATTGAATTGGATTGAATCTGGGTTGTTTTAATCAATCCTTACTGAATTGAATCAGATTGGATCAAAATCCAGTCCATTGATAGCCCTAATTTGGACTATTTAAGGGGAAAGAAATGCAAACATTTTTCAAGAACAATCGCACCAAGGAAGCATTCATAGATATTAGAGAACTGATCAGCTAGAGTTGTCCATTGACTTTGGATATCTTTGCACAATTCTCAACTAATGAAATTTTTCAGATACTGGTAAGCAGTGGCTAATGCCTCTTTTGCAAGGAATAATGCATGTATGGAATAGACCCCACCTATACAAGGTTAGGTTGCATTAAAATTAACTTTGACGGTTGCAATTTAGGCAACCTCGGAAGCTAAGGAATTGGGAGAGTTTTCAGAGACAATAAGGGCACATATTACACATCTATACATGACTTAATAGAGCATGGTGATTCTACAAGGGAGAAACTTTTGGCAGTTCTCCAAGTACTGAAAATGGAAAGAGTACTCAACTATGAAAATTTGGTGGTTGAAGGTGACCCCAAAGTGCTAGTGTGATGGTTAAAAGAAAACAAGGCAGGCCCATGAAATATAGGAATATCTTGAAAGAGGTACAACACTTATTAAGAGGGAAATGACAATTAACTTCTAGTGAGTGAAGAGATGCTCAAAAGCCTAGCCAATGCCTTAGCTAAGCATGAAGTCCTAAGCAGCTACCTTCTTTTTTTTGTTAACTGATAGAAAAGCTAAGAAGTTTCAACCCCTATAGCCTATATATGCTGATTAAGGTGTGCCCCCCCCCCCACCTTGTGCCTTGAGAACTGTAGTAACTCCCACGTGTTCTTTCATGATTAATTCATAAATCTGTTTGTTGTGGATCAACAAAAGATAGTTTCCTCAATTGTAAAGCAAAGAAAATCTATTAGCATACAGAGCAGAAATTCCGTTACTGCAAGAGGTTTCAACCACATACGGAAAAAAATATAGAGCAGACCTCATATCTTTTCCATCCATTATTAATACTGCATTTATTGCACATGCCTCCCTTGCTGTCCATTAAAAGAAAAGAAATGTACAAGGAGCATACAAGAAAAGAAGCAAAAGGCAAAGAGTGACAAACAAAAGCTAACCTTGAACTCTTCCCAAATTACCACCAGACAAGATAACCCACAAATATGACAGAACATACTAACATATTCAACACCAAGGATATAACAGCCATAATGCCCCCCGGCCCCCACCCAAAAGAACAACCAACGAATCTCAGTGAACCTTGCCTTCATTCCCATCCTGGCATCCTCCATTTAACTTTCTGCCTCATCCACATCAACATCACTGCCTTTTTTTGGTCAATAACCAACTGTTTTATTAAAGAGTAATTAGTTTACATATATACATTAACCCTTAGGAGAGATAGCGCAACTTTCTTTTTTGCTTACAATTGTGCCCATGATCTCTCCCCATGCCTTGTTTTGCTAAAGAATCGGTCATACTGTTTGGTTCCATTTATACCCATTAAAGCCTCACTTCCATATCTCTAGTCACCACCTTCTAAAACCAAAGAAACCTCCCTCTCAACCTATTATCAAAGGAAGTGTTCTATATTTCTTGGCTACCACGGTGGATGAGAAAAGGCCCCACACCAGACTCTAATAGATCCACTCATCCACATTTAAAGAAGCATCACTATCTTCCACAACAAACTCCATCCCAAAAAGGAAGAAAAGCCACCCTACCCAACAACAAACCCAAACACTGCACCACAGGCGTGATGCAAATACGGGTGCAAGTTGGGCCAGCTTAGGTGGTTGAATGACTTATTCAAAAAATTACATCAGGTTGATTGATGTATCCCAACCCAAGTTGTTTAACTCCCAACCCAACTTTTTTGGGTTGCATTTGGGCTGGGCTCACATTGGCCCATTCTCTTCACTGCATTTTTCTAATGTTCTTATTTCTTACACTTGGATTAATGTCCACTGATTTTAGCATTGCTATATGTACAAGGAGAAAGGTATGATGCTTTAGGAGCACTATACCTATATCATGTTAGAAATGATTCGCCTTCAAACTTTTAATTGTTAAGAATTGAGATGTATGCATAGATGTATAGACACTAGTGACCTAGCCCCTCATAAAGTGATGCCATCCAGTCCCAGTCAAGCCACAATACATAAATTCCAATACAATAATTTTAACCTAAGGACAACCTTATCCTTCTGCTTGCTTCCCCACATCTTGCCACAAAAAATCCCAAGCCAAAATGAAGACCAAGGAAGAATATACATGATAGATGTATTTGTAAGGTGATCTATAAATGTCTTCTACATGTAGCAGTAAGAAAGATATCTGGAAGACCTCTTGTCATGCATTCTTGCTTTTTTCATTTAACCTGTTCTTGTATTTGTATAGATGTATTAAGAAGCACCTAGAACATTAATTATGCACGATTACCTTTATTAACTTCAGACATATTTTCATTCAAATCTTGCATTTATGCATCTATGTCTCGTCCTTTTTTGATATTCATATTCAGCTTATTAAAATAAAAAAGCAGTGAAAGGCACAAACTTCATAGGGTAGACTTCGCATAAATAATATTCACTTACAAAGGGAAGACAGATTCCACGCCAACCCCTGCCACCAGCCTCCTTAACCTAAATGTTGTATTTAGACCAGCATTCCTTCTTGCTATAACAATGCCTTTCAGAATCGAAACACGCCGCTTGTTCTCAGGAACTTCCTGTTCATATAAGGGATCAGCCATGAACAACCCAATTTATAATCACCTCATCAAGAATTCGTCATACCACTTTGAGCTGAACAATATATCCAGGCTTTATATCAGGTATTTCTCTCTGTACCCTTACTTCCTCCACAGCCTCTTTATCCAGAATCTGCAAAGCACAACAACATTATTATAGGTAAAGGAGATGATGCAAGCTCTATAGAAGGATTTAATATGAAGGCCATGCCTGCATTATATGCCTGGATGTTTTATCAAGCCTCTTAAATTTGATCCGAGGAGCAACATCAGGATTGGAAGCAGCAGAATCTTGCAAGATAGATCCTTCTGGCTGATTCATTGTTGTAATGCGCCTGATGGGAGTATGGCCAGTGGGCCCCACAGTGCCCCATTGAAATAGTGTTTTCTCTTGTTTTCCATATGACAGTGACTTCAAACCTTCAGTTTGATATGTTGATGATTCTTTTTCAATGCCAAATTTAGCTTGCTGTAATATATTCAGAACAAAACATGTAAGAGCTTAAAATTTTCTATACCTTGAAAGAAATAGTAAGATGAGGTAAATTTTGAGACTTTTGCAATCCTAGAATGTTAAGACAAAGATTGAATTGACGGACAAAATATTAGCATCATAATACCAAATAAAGGTGTATTCATAATGAAAATGCAAAATGCACTGCTATCAGGTGTCAATTGATCAGTAGCAACTAGCAAAACTATACTAAGATCAATATGTATACGAGAATACAAAGAAAGTAAAATGCAATGAAAAGGGGTGGGAGCTGTTTGATACACAGAAAATTCTCCCAAATCAAACCTTTAAAAAAAATTGATTCTCATAATTTGGTTTAGATACTAAAAATTGGCTGAAGATCACACTTTTTTATGATCTACTCAAGTAACAAAGGTAAATGGGACTACCAGGCTGATTCTTGGCATCCTGTGAAGCAACAACAAAAGGATGAACTTCTAGCAGTTACAAACATTCAGAGAATCTTCAAAACCTGGATAAAACGTTTTTCAATTTGGTTGCAACTTTGATTTTCAATATTTGGTTTATATACTCAAGATTGGCTGAAGATCACATTCTTTGTATGATCTACGTACCAAATGTAAATGGGGCTACCAGGCTAGGACACCTGGCAGAATGCTTGGCATCCTGTGTTGGAAGCAACATCCAAAGAATGAACTTTTGGCAGTTACAAATATTCAGAGAATCTTAAAGATCTGGATAAAATGTTTTTTAATTTGGTTGCAAGTTTCCATTATTTAGTTCATATGATCAAGAAAGAGAATATTCAGAAAATTTTCAAGGAAAAAGATTATACAACTTCTATAAATACCAGATTGTAGTTCTCTTTTAAGATCAATAAATGAAGAATGAAGAATTCTCTTTACTACTGTGTCACTCCAAGTTCATGAAGGCGCTAGACTCCCAGAGAACGGGTGCCAACTAAGATAATTCAATCTCCTTATCTTGTTTACTTATTCCAATAATTCTCTTGTATGCTTTTTTACCTCATTGTTATAGAATTCTGGTCTGATAATTTTCCTAGTCAACAATCTACATTTTGTTTCTCAACCCCAATCCTTTATCTTAAACCCCTTCTAACTTTCTAGCCTCTGTCCTTCATCTCCACCCTTGATCTTTCTTATGTTTGTATTTTTTATAACAAAGAAAATGAAAACTTCATTTATGAATAATAAGGGAATGCAAAAAAATAGAATTGTCAAAAAAGAAAAAAAAAAAAAAAACTAACTGAAGTTTTGGAACTCCTTGAGAGCATTTGACCAGAAGATTAAAGAGCAACGCCTTAGTTAAGGAGATATTTTATATTTCCCCTAAAAATCCTGCTGATTCTTTCTTGCCAAATTGCCCAGCACACTGCAAGTGCCATCCTCCATAACCTGGTTCCCATCTTACTAAGGCAGTAAGGCCCCTTACTTGCCAGCCACGATGACATTAAGGATTTGAGATCCACGGGGATCACCCACTGCTCACCAAAAAAGCTGTAAAAAAATGTTACCGTATCTCTGGCATTGGTATACGCCATAAAGGAATAGATGCATACTGGTAAAACCCATATAATGTCGTGAGTTCAATAAAAAGCATAGGACCAACATTTGCGCATAAAATCAAGAATTAAACATTGCATGATCCATTTGAAATTTCTAATATATACCCCACAGAATGCCAATTGTGGTATTATAATGAAATGCACTCAGAGAATCCCAAAACGCATGTATCCTAGATAGAGTATGGAAGAATAGAAGTAGAAAAGTTAACGACTACAAAGCATACCAATGTTACCCCAAAGCATGAAGGAGACTCGGGACGCAATGAGGAAAGGAAGCCCTCTGAAAGATGATTCGATGGCTTATAAAATAATGAAGCCCCTCCTCCACCAACTTTATGCTCCAAAGCAATGAATCCAGAACCACCACATAAGCGATAACCCTGTGATGATTTAAGATGAACAACTTTCGAACTCGTAAAACGGCGTTCGATTGTTCGAAGGCTTCTACACAAAGACTGCATATCTCTAGAACAACTTTGCACCAACGAAGAAGAGAAAAAGGGGGATGAGCGCCCCGCAACAGTAACTGTAACAGTCGATTTCAAAGCTCTGAACTTCCGCCAAGTCTCACCTCTGTAACTAAAACCCTAATCCCTAGAGAAAGACGAACGCTTCTTTCTGCAGGGTTGGCTATTGGCTCGTACGAGTTAGGAGCCACGAGCCAAGGTGAAAGGAGCTCGCATTCTACGGTCCCTTCGGTTCACGTTTTATATGGACCAACCAATTATATTTGGCCACGTCATTTAATGTCTTATTCCGTTTCTCTCTCTTCCAAGTTCCAACTCAACGAAAAAGCAAAGAGGTTCATAGACAGCCGAACTGATTCAGCCTACCGGAGAAATAGAAAGACCAAGAAGAAGACGAAGAAGAGAGGGTTCGTCGTCCCTAACCTCTTGCCTGAAACGGAGAAGTGGTGGCCTTCGTCGCCGAGTTTTCAATCATAAGATCTTTCGGGTTGTTGGCTCGATCAAGAACAAGATCCAGTCTTGGATTGATGAAGGCATGGTTGAGATCCCAGGCCCAGCACTGTTCATCGTCTCCCCAATTCGAACCCCACCACTCTACTAGTGCAAATGGATCATCCGATCCGATTAATCGAATTCGGATCACCCCATCCAAAATAATTTTGGGAAAATATATGATGTGGAAAAGGTATGGTATGGGAAGAGTTTTGACCAATCAAAACCGATGTGACGGTTTCCGGTCACGTATCATTTTTTTTGGCTAAGTATCTCGTCAGCTCATCTGCTCCCAAGTGACATGTGACTCAGGGGCTGAAGTAGAGCTCCTTGGCGTAGTGCAACCCAGCTGCTCCCTACAGGAGGTGATCTGCTCATCTTTGTAAGCGGCGGGAGCTGAGAGACCTGCGAAAACTAAATCAGAGAACCCGGGGGTGTTTACCCGGCGAGGTCACTCCGATGGATAAGTTAGCACTTTGGTAGTAGAGAGTTTGAAGATGATATTAAAGAATGAGAGAGATAGAGAGTAGGGGTTACCATCCTTTTTTCCGCCTCTCCTTCGCCCCTGGGGGGTGAGGTCTTTATATACTAGAGTCCTTGTAGGTTAGGTGGAGCAGTTCCTAGATTCCCGCTGTGATGGGACCTTCTTTCGTGTTAGGTGGGATAAAGCCACCAACTGGTAAGGTTGCCCATTTCCGCCTGACTCGGGGAGTGGGTGAACAAATATAGCCGTTACAAGTCATAATCCCATAAAATGCAAGGTATGGAGGTGTGTTTCTCGAGGTTGTTAGGTTGGCGCCTAGGCCAGGCCGCCAGCTCGTGCCAGGGCCAGGTCGCACCAGGGCCAGGCTATCAGCTCGTGCCAGGGCCAAGCTACCAGCTCGTGCCAGGGCTAGGTCGTGCCAGGGCCAGGCTACCAGATCGTGCCTATGCCAGGCCACGCCTGTGCCAGGCTACGCCTGGTGGGACACCATCAACTTAGCAAAGGCAAGTTGTTGTCAAAGTGGTCCCGGGTGTCGCCTAGTTGTTCTGAGGTGCCAGGCTACATGATGGCGAGTTGCCCAACGGCAAGCTTCTTGTGGCGAGCTGCCTAATTGTCAAGAGGTTGTACTTAGTCGCCAAGATGTGTCAGGTGTCACAATGTCATTGGAGGGCCAAATCCGCCCTCATCAAAAACCTACCCATGAATTTTGATAAATAACACCTGATTGGCTACCACATTTATGCTTCCAATTGATTGTTCAGAAGTTTTTCAGATATCATATCTTTTTCATAATATCACAATCAAACCCATAATTTTATTTATGAGTAGGAAAAATTCTCGATCAGTACTTTGGCTCGAGTGACAATTTAGTCCTCGAATTTTAAAATGTGACAATCCAACACCTGAACTTTCAATTTGCGACAATCTGATACCTGACGTTAACTCAATCAAAGCTATCAGGTGAGATAAGGTGCACTTTAAATAATTTCATAATACCAATACTAACCTTTATGATAATATTCAGATTTTACCCTTTTTCTTTCTTTTTACCTTATTCCCCTTTCTCGTTGAAGGAATGACAGAAGAAGTGGCGTTGACTTTCTAACCGTTCGTTTTCCCTCCTATCCAATTGAATTCTAAAATCAAATCTATTTTCGTGTTTAATCTGTCACGAGGATGGATGGAAAGAACAAAGAGGTTGTTGAATCTCAAAAGACTCTAGTCACTTGGTCATTGCTGAGAAAGATGAATGTGGACTAGAAGAAAATGTCAGGGTTTATAGGGAAGCACACTCGATTCATCTACAACAACGATGATGAGATAGAAGAAGAAGAGGTTGCAGAAATGAAAAGTTTTATCACTTAGTATCGTTCGTTTGAAGGGTATGCCTACTCTGGTAGGGAAGCATCTTCACTTCCTCGAAGAAGAAGAGTAAAGAGGAGAGATGGGCTTTTGATGGCGAGCAATAGTGTAGGAGATTATGATCTCTTTTTTTTTTTTACAAGAACGAATTGCCGAAAGCAACACAACATATCTGTTGAGTATTGAGGAGAATAGTCTGTTTTTATTCTTAGTTTACTGGTTGCCTTTCATAGTATAACTTCAAAATGAGTTAAAAATCCCGACTGTTGGTTCCACAGTTTACTACTTCCCGCAAGGCCATGCGGAGTAGGGCTTCTTCTTCTCCATATTTTAGTTCTTTGGCCTGCGTCAGGCACATAGTTTTGTGCAGAATCGTGTTAGTTATGTTCCTAGCGAATCTTGATACTAATGAGGTTTTTGCAAAACTACGTCTTGGACCGCTGGATCAATTGTTTTCCGGAATGGTTTGTATGCCACCGAATGCAACGGGATTATCGCAGGACGATGACGTTGAGGATTTTGAAGAAAAGATTTTGTCATTCTCGAAGATCCTGACACCAAGTGATGCAAACAATGGAGGTGGGTTTTCGGTTCCCAAGTTTTGTGAAGATTCAATATTTCCCCCATTGAACTACAAGGCGGAACTGCCAGTACAGGCGGTTACAGTGAGAGATGTTCATGGTGCTATGTGGGATTTCTGGGACATTTACTCTAGGATGCCACATCAACATTTGTTGACGACTGGGTGAAGTTCATTAATCATAAGAAGCTTGTTCCTAGAGATTCAGTGGTTTTTATGAAGAACCAAACTGGAGAGCTTTCTGTTGGGGTAAGGCGCAATGCGAGGTCAAGCGGCAGTATGGACTGTGTTCGGTGGAATTATCATGTTGGGTTTGTGGCTTCTCTCATTATGAAAACGAAAGAGGGGTTTTTGAGGAGTAGTAGGGGCAGGGTTTAGTAGAGGCTGCTGAATTAGCGAGAGTAAATATGCCTTTTGAGGTTGTTAATTATCCGAAAAGTAGGTTCACTAGGTTTTGTGGTCAAGGCGGAGGCAGAAGAGGAATCCCTCAATATAGTGGTCATTTTCGTCATTTCGAAAATGATTCAAACTCGATTGTTGAAAAATGAAATGGGTATTTATGTCTTTTTATGCATTCACTGATGGTGAATTAAAACCAGGTACCAGATTGTCGCAAATTGAAAGTGAGTATTGGATTGTCGCATTTTAAAGTTCGAGGACCAAATTGTCATTCGAGCCAAAGTACAAGATACTAATCGGGAATTTTCCCTTATAAGTATGTTTATATTGTACTTTTGTAATTTTTTCATATTATTTATTTTTTATAAAACGATATGTATATATATATGTGATAAAAATAATTGAAAAAATGATTGTACTTTTGTTTTTCTTTATATAGAATGTTATGTTTTTTTTTCAATAATTTGTTAAATTTTACGAAAATTAAATAAGATCGGATCATATTCGGATATCAGAAAATCCTTAACATGTTTTCAATTCGATTGGGATATCCCTAGCATGGAAAAGCATCTTGTCTTGTAGAGAGTTATTAAAAAAAATGCTTAAGATGGAAACTTGGAACATGAGTAGCAGTCTAGGAGATACTCTATTGGAAGAAATGACTGACACTATTAGTTTTAGTGAGGTAGAAAATTGGAGATTGATGAATTTAGGATTTGTTTGGTTATACAGTCGGAATTAGAATCAGAACAAAAATTCTTTAGAATCAGAATTGGAATATTCCAGACCCCTATTTCCACAAACCAAACGAGACCTTAATAGATTGGAACAGCAAAATTTGGAGGAGAGAGACCATGCAAATCAGGATGAAATATGAAATACTTTGGGGGAATAATTTAGGCCCCATTTGGTCTGGAATGGGCTATTCCAATTCCAACTGTTTGGTTGGGTGGAATCAGAATCCCATTCCCATTCCTTCTAGAATGACATTCCCCCATTTGAGAGAATGACCATTCCCTGCCCCTCCCTTGGGAATGAAATCCTATTCCTGCTGAATTCAATTCTCATTCCCATTTCTGATTGAACCAAACAGACATTGCGAATAAACCATTCCAATTCCGACTACAAGACAAACGGACCCATGAAAAGTTTACAGTAAAATCGGCCTATAGAATATGCTCCCAAATGGTGGAGCAGAACAGCTTTATTAAAAGAATGGGGAAAAATTAGAACATCCCATGAAAATTGTGGTTTGATTTATCAAAAAGAATAAAATAGGAACATCCCATTATCCCCTAAAGATCAAAACCTTCATGTGGTTGTTAATCCAAAAGAAGCTGTCAACAAAAAGGAAATCTATTAGATAGGGATCTTCAAATAGATCCGAGCTGCTCCCAAAGTGGGGAAATGGAAGATGAAAACCATTTATTTATTAGTTGTCAATTGGCAAAGCAGGTAGGGTCAGGGGTGGAGAATGGAAATCTAGGGCCAAGAATAGAGACAGAAAGTTTAGAACAGTGGCTCTCAAGGAAACTAGAGGACAAGATAGAAACTGATATGATACTTGAATGGGAAACAATAGTGTCTACCTTGAACCATTTGGAAGCAAAGAAACGAAAAAATTTTTTGCGAATAAAGAGAACCAACCGGGCAAGGAAGACCCAACCAATCAGTAGAAACATTAATTACTGTTTTAACGCAAAATAGTCTCAACCAAATAGAAAATTGATGTGTAAACTCAAAGTGTCAAGTTATTTCTCCACGGGGAAGGAAAGATCATGTACTCAACCTTCTGATTTGAGCCAACAAATTGGAACATGAATATATCTGATTCCAAAATACTCGAAAAAGACAATTAATAGAAGGTGAATAAAAATTACATTAAAACAAGCAACCAAATATTTAGATGCCTGAAAAAAAAAAGACAAACTAAAAGAGAATGTAAAGCTTGGACTGCAAGATGCTGACTTGAAACTTATCGCCTGCATGATCTTTTCCCAGCAAAAAGTCACACGGTCTACACCATGAGAAATTGAAGTGTGATTTTTGTTTCCAAGCAGAAGATTTACTTCACCTTTGAGCCTCCTTGATAAAGGTCTTAACCCCACCACCGGTTGATGGTGAGAGAAGGTGTTTATCTTGATCTGCATCATCGCTTTCTGTGGCTTCATGTGGTGTAGTGCCTGAGAGATTCTCGGATCCTTCTTCTTCTGCATGTTGCATAATAAATTCACTAGTATAAGAAGTCATGCAACAAAATTGGAGCTTGGGCTCCTTTGGGATGTCAAACAGGGTAGATCAAGCCCTGTCATCTTTGACCCATGTTTGGTGACTGAGCATCAAGAAAGAAAAGCAAAATACAAATTTGCACGAAGACAAAGTTTGGTGGCGCCCATTTTTGACACTGTGACAGGAACATCAAGCTCATAAAGAGAAATAAGCTACTAACCAGAATAGACATGGTAATCAGGCAGCTGTTTGACCGTGGATACTTGGATGTTTTCAGGAAGCAGACAATTGCACATGGAACCTGAAATTCAGATCAGAATTTGCATCTTCAATACTCTATTATAATACATACCACCACTGAAAAGTAAGGTGGAACGGATGGAAAATGATAAATAATAACAATGACAATGATGATAAGAATAATGTTGATCCTTCAGGTATTTTGCAAAGTTCATAAGACCATCACCTAGGTAGGAGTCTAGGCACAGCCCAGGTAACCAGGTGCTTACATGAGAAAGACACACATATTTTATACAAGGCCCCCAGCTATGTGACAACTACGACAATGCAGGACTTTACATGGTCAAACCATAACACTATGATTTTGAATGCCCAACCTGCCCCCATGATCCTTTTAGTAAGTTTTAAATGATTAATATGAGCTCAGAACTTTATTTATGTGCACAAGCTACATTTACATGGAAATGAATCACTAAAAACTTCTATTATGGAGAAGCTCTTCCATTGGTAGGTGCTTTCATCAAGTGACTTTCTAGAATAGGACTTCAAATACTGAAAGCAATCCCCACAAATTTGCTTTTTTTTTTTTTCTTTTCTCCTTTTCTTGGTAAGTAAACTTTATTCCATGTTTTTAGTAATTAATCTTAGTACGGAAGCAATGGCGTGTTGTAAGAAATAGTTGCAGGTAAAATTTTGTAATTACATTAGTTATACACTATTTTCTCTCTCATGCAGAAAGACATCTTTCTTTTTCGCCCCTGCTAGAAGAAGTTTCTAGCAGCAAACAAACATCAATAAGTACAAACAATAAGACAGATAGGGGGGCAAAGATAATATGATCCCCATTCCCCAGACTCCAACGATTCCCCAAAGGCTGATATCCAACCAAAAACTGGTGAAACTGCCAGAATCCAGCAAGATGAAATTTCTTGAATATACTTGAACAGTGGCATTTAACACTGAAAAAAAAAGGAAGACTAAAAGCATACCCGGGTTCTCTTCTTTTACTGAGAAGAAGAAGCTCAAAAACAGAAGATAGTGCATGGAGAATGAAAGGTGCCTAAAAAAAGCTATTGTATTCTTTTTTTAATGAAAAAAGGAAAGTAAAAATAATGGAAAGCAATTGGAAATTAGGAGACTTAATCTATTGTAACCTGCAATGGAATGTGAGAGAGTTAAATTAGTGAGCATTATATTAGGGGATTAATTGAAGAAACCAAACATGGGTCTACACTGCTTACCAAGATAAGTAGGGAACTTTGAGATTTTGAGGCATAGGGGGGACCGAGGTTCCCCCACATCCCCCTACCTCTTTGCCTCTAGAGAGAGAGGGGAAGAAAAGAAGTACAAAGCTGCCCAAGCCCTTTTCCTATCATGTATTTTTTTGGTTGTAAAATTATGCCCCAGAACCTAGATCCTTCCAAAGTACATCCTGTCTACCTACTACTCTAGCCATTCAATGGAGGAGTAACTGAGTAAGCTGATGTCAGAATCCATCTGAACAAGCTGCTCAGGTGAGCTGCTAAAGCCTCAGTTTCCCTAAAAGGAATCATAGTGTCCAGTCCCTCTTCAGTCCCATTCATCCAGCCTATAGATCTATAAACACCTAGCAAAATGCTTTGATCTTTTTTATCAAATCTTTTATTAGTTAAAAGTTATCACTTAGGCAATAAAGCTTTCTCTCAAAAATCATCACATACACAAAACATGAACACACCCAAACATTTTTCTTGGTAGGTAAAAGTTGATCTTTGTTTTTTCAGTAGTGAATCTATTGCCTATCAGCAGCAATGATGGAAGAAAAAAAATGCAACTACATGTGCATTACATGTCCCAAGTTAACATGAAACATATCATCATCATTCAGGCCTTATCCCAAACAATATGGGTTTGGCTACGTGAATCATATTTTGCCATTCCATTCTGCTTAATGCCTAATGTGAAACATATCATATAAATTATATCTTTTATTTGTCAAAAATTATTCCTTGGCTAACAAGGTGCTATCCCATTGCCTACCATAACTTTGTTGCATTGGTAAACCTTGGTACACTTTCATTTTTTTTTCTTCTTTTACAATTATATAAATTTGTTCTGTTTTCATCATTACGGAACACAAAACATAAAAAGGGAAAGTACAATCTGCAAAACCCTTCCACTTAACAAATATGAATAAAAAAACTAAAAACTTAGAAAAGGGATATTATCAGTAAAAATAGCATTACTTGGAACTTAAGCAGGGAGTAAAACTATCATATGCATAATGGTTTGGGAGTACAATTAATTGATTTTTAAAATTCTACATACCTAGTTGTGCAAGCCGGTTCACCCATCCAGGAATCCCTCTACCTGTCAATCTCCGGGAAATGTCATTAGTAAAATGGTTGCAGTTCTTAGAGATTAGGTGATAAGTATCCCCATGATATTCTGAAGCAACGTTCTCCATAAATGTGCGAAATTCAGAGTGAAGCATGTTTATATAACCTAATGTAATGGAGCATCGATAGATAAAACCTGGGCAACTCCTTGGTTCCACCTCAAACACTCCACTGGTTGGGAAATCATGGGCCCCAAATCCGTACTCCATACCATGCACTGTTACAATATTAGTCAAGAACCATTTCATAACAACCCACAAGATAGACACAATATTAACATTGACACAGGAAGTTAGGCTCAGTTTGGAAGGATACAAATACAAATATGTAGAGTACAAAACCTTGTATTTTGTATTATTTTCTATGTATTTGTACTGTACATATTTGTATTTGTACTCTTTTCAAACTGAGACTTAAAAACAAATAGCACTGATCAAAGAATTAAAAAAAAAAAAGAAAAAGTTAGTAACATGTAGCACACAGTAAGAAACTTCAGAGGGGAAAGCTGTGATAATACTGGGTTCAAATTTATTTCTTTATAGTTGTTCCAAACAACAATTGTGAGAAAATAAGACTTTTTTTACTGAGTAAAAGTAGTTTTTTTTTTTTTTTCATTCCATAAGTTGAGTTTCTTATAATTTCTACCCTGATAGCAATAACACACAGTCTGTGCTCCTTTCAACTTGAACCCCTACCTATCCATCTTACTTGTGTGGGCTATGCTTGTGGCAAGATTCTGTACTCAAACGAAAACAGAAACGCTCAGTTTGGAAAGAGTACAAATACAAATGTGTAGAGTGCAAAACCTTATATTTTGTATTATTCTATATGTATTTACACTGTACATATTTGTATTTGTACTCCTTCCAAACTGAGCCAAAAGAAAAGAAGGGATGTAAATATCATAAATTGAGATGCAAAACAGTAAAAGGTGGGTTACTATAGATGAGGTCTGTTTCTCCCCATTTAATATGAGAACTGGTTATCAATTGAAGACAAAGTTGGAAAGGACTGTAACAGAAAAACTAGACAGTTCCGCATTCCCCATTGTAAAGAAAACTTCCCTTCCTGTCATTTTCCTCTCTAATTATCTGAGTCCATTTGCATCACATGGTTTTTCATCTTAATTGGTGCTACATTGTGATAAAAGAATTAAAAAATTATTAAATGATATTAAGAAGTTATGACATCCTAATTACTTCCTTAGGATTCTCGACAGTTCGCGCGACAAACTACCACCTCCAACCCTCACTCCCACGCGAAAAAAAAAGAAGAAATAAAAACAAAATAATCCATATCGTATCAATATTACTTATAACATATAGAAAAACTCAAACCCAACTACCCAATTACACTGGAAAAATCCAAATAGTCTTCTAATAAAACCTGTGGAACATTTCTTGAGTCTAATAAAACCGGGTTCCCTACTGCAAAATACAATAAATTCAAGAGAACCCACGATCGACCTAGATTTATATCCTGAACTACGAAATGCAAAATTAAGAAAATTGACCCAATCCAATAGATAATCAAAGATTCAAAACCCAAGTAATCTCTCACCTGAAACTAACCAAATTGGAGATCATCATGCAACTGGTAAATAAAAAAAATAAAAAAAAGTAAACATATAGCCAGTGATAAGATAAAATCTTTTTTTTTTTTGATCAATTAAAATCAACACGAAGCTTTTACCGTGAACAGTAAAGGAAAAGCACCGAAGTCGGATCCCGTACCTTCAATCCCAGAATGAAAGATTCCCAAGCCGAACCAGTAAACATAGTTGTTAAGAGGGGTTAGATCATAGACATTCAGTAAGACCTGACTCCCACAATTCCCGTCGTTGCCTTCCGGAGCGGTCGAGTTCGATGCATTCACAATTCCACCCATAAGTTTCTTTTCTGCAACTTGTCAAATGAGAAAATCAAAAAAGCTCAAGCATATCACGAACAAGAACCCAAAAAAGCCCTTTTATCACCTATCCTGCCATCCATGCCCAGAACCCAGAAGAGAGGCTAAGAAAGAAGAGAACCACAAGCAAACAACCAAGGTAACGAACCAAACGGAGCTCCCGCTGCAGGGAAAACGGAATTTTATTTATATGGAGGAAAGAAAAGTGTATCGTTTGTTTCTCCTTCTTCTTGCCAGCTGATGTCCACGCAAGGTAGGACCCACAAGACCGACGTGGCTGGCATGCTGGAAGGAACACCCAACATGAGTGGTCAGAAAAGGGTTCATAATAAACAATATGCTTGGAGTTGAAATCAGCGCCCCATGAGAACGTCCCACAGCACATCCCCGCCTGTAGTGAAACATCTTTCGCATCATTTCATTTATGATGCTATCATTGAGAGATATTTCGAATATACGGCGGAGATATGCTGTGAGACGTTGTAGGGGACTGATTTGAACTCACGTCCTTTGACCTCTGGAATCCAAGGCGTTGGCTTTGATTTGAGAGAAGGCCTTATCTATGGCATTCAGCTGCTAATCTTGGATTAATTATAGCTCCTACAATTAATTTTCCTCTACAGAATATAAAATCTTGTATTGTGTATTATTTTGTATATATTTGCATTTGTAGCTTTTTCCAAACTGAGCATTTGAATCGAATTAATATTTGTGACAACTAACAACGCTATTGAGCAAGTTCTTGACCTTAATTTACAGCATAATAGAGTCCATTAGTTATTACGGTATTAATATTCAAAGGGCTGATTCAAGATATTGAATTGCTCATTCATGTGTAATCAAGGCACCGAATCATTAGAAACAATAGGAATTGCAAATATTTCACTTGGTTGGATTACTAATTTGCTTGGAATTTTGGAAGAGATAATTGGCATGAAGGAGGAACCCAAGAGAAATTTCCCTTATTATCTGAATGGATAGAGTATTTCTTGAACTTTCCCATAATGAGAAACAAGTTGCCTCCTCGAGATAGATTACTTGGCTTGTACTGTGGTCATTGGTAGACAAATATTTTATAATATATTAGTTATATTATTAATAAGATATCATATATTATATAATATATAGAATATTGTATAATATATTTTTTGCTACTAATATTATTATTACATAATATTATAATATATATTATATTTTCTATTATGTATATACTACTATCAAGTCGGGTTTGGGCTCGAGTTGGGCTCATTTGAGAAAGCCTAAACCTGAGCCCAACCCAAAAAGCAGGCCCAATGTTTAGAGCCCAAGCCTGAGTCCGCAGGCATAAAAGTTTGTCCAAGCCCGACATATAGTGGGTTGGGCCAAGCTAGCCCATCAGGCTACTCAGCCCATGAACAAGTCTAGTCGTCAAGACTCCATTGTTGTAATAGATTATCTTAAATGCTCCTTAAAACTGTTTTGCAAGGACATGTATTTTGATGTAGATGTTTTAAGAACTAATTTGTTTGCAATGCAATTTTATTTGTGTTAATACAATAGTATGGGAGTCAAATGACTTGAATGAAATTTATAATTTATTCTTATTTTCAATTTAACTTCACTTTTTTGTTTGTATTGTAAATGAAGCAAAAAAAAAAAAAAAATACATAAAATAAAGTGATACCGAAAGAGCCTTTGACCAATCAAGATATCTCTTAAGCAATATTGATACTTTTAATTTTAAGGTTCTAATTGTCGTTGGTGCAAATCTGAACCAAATACAAATTTTGTACCCAAGTCAATTTTAGATCCATTTGTTTGTTATTATGATTTGCACTCCCACCTGATGCAAAAATTTTGCTTTTGTCTCATTTACTTTAATTGGAAATGCAAATTTTCCATCTAAAAAATCAATACAAAATTTGTACCACCATTTAAATAAGAAGTATCAAGTGCCTCAAAACTAGGCTGGTGTACATTAAGCCTCTTCCTCATGTTCTTGTTTATTTGGTTTGTGGGGATGGAGGTATTGGAATCAAAAGTGATATGGCCCATTCCGATTCCAACTATTTGATTGGGTAGAATCGAATTCTGATTCCCTTTTTTGGTGGAATGGCATTCACCCATTTGAGGGAATGATCATTCCCTCTCCCTTGAGAACAAGAATCCCATTCCACCCACTTTTGATTCTAAATTCATGTCTAAACTAAACAATGGGTTCTCAATTGGCCTGAAGTTAGGTCCATAATCTCCCTTATGAATTAATGAGAGATAATGTGGCTCAGGGAATTGGGATTTGGGACATCTTTCCTTGCTTGCTTCCACTTTTGATTTAGATGGGGTTGTTATCAGATCAAAAGTGACTATTGATATTGATCGGTCTCTTAAAGATGGAGGTCTTGTTGCTCCTCATATTTGGGTAGTTTACTAATATGAAAATATCCTAGGAGGAATGACCAGCCTCCAAATTTTAGGGATTATATGGAGGAGCAGAGAACAAGGAGGTAGGGAAATATAGAACTTCTTCAAGTTCCAATTATGGCAGTGTAAGTGGTGGTGGTAGCAGGAGTTAGAAGGTGGATAGCTCCTCAGGAATAGGCGAATAGCTAGTATTAGGGAAGAAAGGGCAATTGATGATGTGGTGTGGTCACTGGTTTTGGTTAGTTAGGATCAGTCAAATCCTAAGTTTGTTGGGTTGAAGGTCTTCATGAGAGTTTACTAACTCAAGATAGGAGAATTCTTAGAGATGTTGAACCAAGTTGCTTCAGGTTTGGCATCCTCCTTTTCGAATCATAAGTTTGGGTATAGCTTGGATCCGAATATTGGTATCGAAGATTTGGGTTCAAATCATTTAATGGTGGGTCATGGGTCCAAACGACCTAGGATGGATTATGATGGTGAGTCGCACTCTGCTTTTAGTTCAGGCACTTCTGGTTCTTCTAACCCAAGTATGTTAGAACAACTAGGGAAGAATCCTGTGGTGGTTGAAGAAAACGTTAATAGTGTGGTTGCTTCTTTAGGTAACTAAGGAATTAGAATTAGGGAGTCTAGATAGGGTAGTACTCACAATCGGGAAAACCAGAACTCCTCTGTTGAACAAGATGATCACTAGGTAATGCATAGTCTTAACCATGGTTTTCAAAACCGAACTGGATCGGAAAAACCAGGAACCAGTCAAGTTAGCAAATCCTAGAACCGTTATTTTGCCAAAAAATCGTTGATTTGATTAGAAATCACTAATCCGGGCAGTCAAACTGTTTGAACTGTTCGAACCATTCAATGGTTTTGGCCTTTTTTTTAATTTTTTTATTCTTTTTGTCAGAATAGGCCATCCATTCGGTTCAAACGGTCAGACCGTTTGACCCGAGAACCAGACTCCTAGTCGGTTCGTTGTCCAATTCGGTTTTAAAAACCTTGGTCTTAACTTTTCAACACATTTAAATATAGAAGCTTTGATCTTATTTGCTTGGAATTGTAGGGACGTTGTAAGAAAATATTTTCTTCAAAATCTAAATCGTTTTGTTAAATCTAGGAGACCAGATTTTATTTTTCTCTTTGAAATTGAGGTTTCTTGATGATAAGATGGTTACGATTGCTAGTAGACTAAGATATCCTAACTATTTTTTGCTTCTTTTAAAGGGAAATAAGGAGGGTTAATTATATTTTGGAAGGAAAATCTTCTTCTGTATATTTTATCTTCATCAAGTAGGTATATTTTACTTTCTATAAAATATTTTCCTTTAACTAAGGAATGGTTAATTTATTTCTTGCATGTAGGACCTTACAAGCAGAACAAAATTACATTTCTGGAAAAATAATTTCTAGATATTGCAGCATAATTTGTAGGCCAGGATATGCCTTTTCTTTTCTTAGGCAATTTCAATGTTGATTTTAATATGCAATTTGATGAACCTAATGATAATAGTTTCTTATCTTCAATTTGGCAAAAATTTCCTAAGAACGTTTTCTCTGATTTTGTTTATGTCTATAATCGTAAGGAGATAAATATGTTTGAAGGCTCCAATACTCGAACTAATGGTCAAAAAAGGTTTAGGTAGGTCTAATAAGAAGCTTGATAGATTTTTGTCTCAATGGCCTGTTGATAGTTGTTTAATTTGGTTAATGCCTTTGTCTTGTTTTGAATTTTGAAGCTTATACTAAACCAAAACGGTTTCGTTTCTTTGAGACTTGGCTTCAAGAGGAGGGTTGTTGAAATTTAATTCAAAGCAATTGAAACCCAAGATTGGAAGGTTTTGATACTTACCACATCATGACTGGACTAGATCACAAGGAGGTGGAATAAAGAGAAATTTGGGGATGCAAATGAGAAGTTTGACAATATAAATAATCAAATAGTCCAATTAGAGGAGCTTTTCTTGTGAGGATGAAAACCTAAGTCAACTGGAGGAACTTATTAACCTGAAGACTATATCACTAAATCAACATGAATAAATACTAATTCCATAGAGCTACACTGTGTAGGAGATAAAGGAACAGCATAACTTGGGTTAAAACCAAGGTTCAAAATATCGATATTGTTTATTTTTTTACTTTTTTTTATTTTGTTTTCAAAACCAATTCAAGGGGCCCGGTTTAAGGCTCCTCCACCCCTGAATCGGTCAGAACCCCGATACACCCTCTGTAGGGGCATATCAGGGAGTTCCCGAAATGATACGTATCAGCCGATACGAGCCAATACATGTCGATACTTTAAACCTTGGTTAAAACTAAGGGTATGGATTAATAATCATGAAGGAATTTCATCCTTGTTTGTGAACCATTTTGAAAACTTTTTTAAATTTGAGAGAGAGGGTACTATTGAGTTTCCCCATCTTTTTGAATAAATCATCTTAGATGAGCATAACATGTTCTTGCTTAGATTGCCTACCATGGAGAAAGTTCAAGAAGTGGCCATCTCTTTAGGTGCTTTAAAAGCCCCTAGACAAGATGGTATCCCAACTTTAATCTATCATAAGTTTTGGGAGCAAATGGGACAAGATATTTTTTGAATTTGTGTGCAATTTTTTATGCATAAAAAATTTATCAATAGAACTAATCACACCTTCCTAACTCTAATCCTAAAAACTAAGGAACTCATTAAAGAAAAATATTATAGGCCAATTAACTTATGCAATGTTTTGTATAAAATTTAGTATCAAGCAATTGTCCAATGGGTTGAAGCCATTGCTTAAAAAATGTATCTCACTTGTCTAGAGTGTCTTTGTTCCTAGAAGACAAATATAAAACAATGCATGGTTTTCAAAACCGGACCGGACCAGATGGTCA